ATCTATAAGTCACCTTCCCCAGAATTGGCAGCGATCGTGTTATTTGAAATGTGTTGTTATGTGCAAAAAAATATAGGACTGGAAATCCATTCTATCAAATGAATAGTGATAAATAAAATCGTTGGACTTGAGTCTACCAAAATGTGGAGTACTCTTAAATCTAGCTGCAGTGGCAGCTTTCTTGATGGCTAAATGTAAATATATAATTTATAAAGCACTACAATTCTACTAGAAATAATTCATCAGCATATTTTGTCTAATCAGGAAATAAAACACGTATATCAAAGAAACAAGGAATTTGATTTTGCACATGTCATAGCAATGCTGACATGATGTAGATAGTGTTAGGTCTTGCATAAATTATCACTGTGGTTCAAAAGTAAGTTTGTCAAAAAAGTTGAGAACGTGATATTGTAAAATATGCTAGCCTTTCAGCGTTTAAATAGTCTACGTAGAAGATCAGCATCCAACCAGGCACAATGATGGATAACAAGCACTACACAGTGAGAAGCGCAGCCAGCACGGTGGACTCATTTGGAAAATGCCTGACTCGCGATTCTGGCTTGTTATTAGTCAATAAAACTCGGCCAAGGACATGCACTATGCCAACGACGTGCTTCACCAAGTTTTCTCCGACCCAACAAATCTGGAGAACGATCTGACCTTTGTTGGTACCATCAGCGCTATGGTGACAGGGCAAGTGGTTGCATATATCTGTAGGCAACTGTGCTGATTCACGTTCATTCACCCGGTCGTCGCATTCTACGCCACACTGATCGCATTTTCACGGCATCCCCATTGATCCTGCAAAACCGTCTGCTCATGCACGCTTGTGTGTGTGCTTCCTCCACATTAGGAGTATCATTTATCTAGACATTAGGCTAACTCAGGCTGTACTGATTGACAATAGGCACTCGACATAGTCGCCTATTGTACGTCCCTGATTCAGCAAGCGGTTTAAAGTTTATGATTGACATCGACTTGAAGCAGCAAATAACTTGCATATTGTGGCGTATAGCCAAAAGGTGCTCATTTCAGATGTAGTATTAAGGCGACAAATTCCCTTTATTTCTACAGTGGCCGATGTTCAGACCCAGTCGGCTGTGGTGCAGACAGGAGACGCAAAATTTCGGCAACGTCATCAAAGTTCTCGTATATATTTAAAAGAGCTGTCACTTTTCCCCCTTTTTACAACAATTACGCGCGACTCGCCAAATAGCAGACCTCGACCCTATGTTCCTGCTTAATTTAAAAGGCAACAATTTCATTAGCTTCACTCGATTTCAGTGGTTTTCGTTCTATTACATTTGATCGCGTAGCACAAATCACAGCATGTTTATTTAGGATTTAAATTCCCTTTTTGGATACAAACCTTTTCATACTTCATCGTGTGGCTTGGTTAAACGTATCCATGTTCAGGTGAAATCAGCCATTACTGCTAAAGCTGTGTCTGTTAACTGGTCCGACGCATTACCACTGATTTTACAGGCCCTGCCCAATGCGGTAAAGAAAGATATGAACTCCACGCCAGCAGGACCTGTATTTGGTACAACTCTGTGTCTGTCTGGTAAAAAGTTCACACATTCTGACAACACTATTGCTATCCCTTTTTCATCATACGTCAAGCAATTAAAGCGCTTAATGAAGAGAAGTCGACCAACCTTAAATAAGTTTCTTTACGACAACAGCATATCCAGCCAAATTTGCTAAGCTACCTTAATGTTTTTTTTCGTTTTGAAAGTGTCAAGAGGCCTTTAAAACCACGTTAGGATAGATTCTTTAGGTTGCACCACTCTCAGATGAGTGCTTTACACTTGTGAGCGTATAAATATTCAAAAAGGTGTGCGAACAAGCTTGGGTAAAGCATGTACTGGAGTGGATGAAATGTCATTGTTGTGGGTCATAGCATGTGGTCTTGAACCACTCCGGGGCCACGGAATTAATCCTGGCCCGATTACGCTTGCCTGATACCCGCGATGAAGAAAAAGACCAGAGAGGACGGGACACAATCGTTTATTCAGAGCTCAACCAAAACTGGTGTGGTCGTGTTGTGTATGGGGTTTACGCGTTTGTATTTATACCTCGGATGTGTGAGTCACACATGCGCTAACATCAAGACCCAGGCGTGAGGATAATCTAAGATAGATATTCGTGTGAATGAAGGGGGAGTTGAGGATTCGCGCGGCTGGCGCCTTGTTGCGAAAAAGGGGAACCCTGTGTCGGAGGCGGAGCGATCGGATTTAGGGGTTGAGTAAACATGATTCACAACATCATTTATAAGGACTACAGTTAACAGTCAATATTAAAGCAGTTATTTAAACAGACTTGAGTGGTCTGGTGAACACAAAAGTCGTTGGCGCTGTCGCCCGTTTTGCCTCTGAGATTGAGTTCTGATGGGTAGTTAAGCAGAAAGGTTGCAAGGTAGTGAAAACCAGTCCACCACATGCATTTGGCAACTACATGGTACTGGTTTTTAAATGATTGCTCCAATATACAACAATACTTCATCAAAGCGTTAAAACTTATTTGCAGTTTTCACAAAACTGTAAGAAACAGGGTAATATTCAAAAATTGATTATTCGAGCTACAAGGAGAAAAAATAAGTTTAAGGCAATTTTAAAATTTATCTAAGTTATATCCATCTGCACGCAGGCTACAACATAATTATGCGTTTAGGTTGTGCCTGCTTTATCATTTCGAACATACATTTATACTAGACAAGGTGGGTTTTGTACACGTAATGTTTTTTCAAAAAGCTGCAATTTAAATTATTCAGATCTAATTTTCGTGTTAAAATAAATTAACTTTGTTTAATATATAAATATAACTATTTCCACTTTTAAAGTGTGAAGTTTCATGACTGCGAATTCTGTGATCCGATGAAGGTTGCTACCGTCACCTGCAAGAAAATACCCAATCAAAGGGGAGAATTTCTTAAGTTCTGACCTGAACGTACACTACCAATTCTCGGGCATGACACATTAGTTAGTACGTTTGGCCATGCGACCTTACGGATGCCACTGTTTGATTATTATTACTGATGAGTACATACTCCGATATTCGTCTAGGATGTACATACTGACCATTTTTATCATTTTTGCTCTGTTTAAACTGTCAACATCTTTTGACGCATCCATGGCGTTGCTAGTTAAAAGAGGTGATTAATCTCTGTTGCGATCCGTAATTTCTTGTTCCTGGCAGACACATGGTGTTAATATCTGTATTGTTGGAAGATACCTGGCGTGTTTCTGTGAAAAATCAGTGGCTACCAACTCTTCTTGTTCTCATAATTAGGTGTATTCACATTGGTCATTTTACGGTTTCGCCATATTTCTTAGTATGGAATTCGGTACTTTATGTCGAGAGTTTGAAATCAAGTGAACTCCACCCCCGGTTTGCAGAAGTTACAGGTGTTCATGTTTTCGTGTAAGCGTCGGGGATTATTTGCCGTTTTGTCGTAATACTTCCGTTAGTGAACATGATAAATTAGTTGTGCAGATGGTGACGCGCACTTTCATGTAAAATTCAACTTTGTTTCTGTCTTTTTGATTCCCGGAAGATGCTTAATGTAATTTTATATGGAACATCACACGACGGTCTTAACCACAACTTACCTAATAGCTTAATGTGCCTCTTTTAATTAACAATGATGTCCTGAAAGATCTTTTTAACTATTTCAGAAATAAATCAACATGCATAAATTCGAACCCTATTGGGATAAAGAGACAGTAGCAGCCGGTCTTTCATCTGGTCAACTGCTGCTTGTAAGGAGTCTTCCATTTTTTATAACACTGATTTCTCCGAATTCCTGCTTTTTGCCATTATTCGCCGTAATACCACAAATTATTTTTTTAGGGCCAGTTGCGAATCAACCCGAAGAATTACACTGAAGCCTATATCAACCACCCGGTAGTTTTCAAGCATTCAAGAGTATTTATCAAAATTATAGAAAGGGGACGCTGATGTATTTATACCCGGAACAAAGGCACGAAATCGAGCTCTCAATGGCGATATTGTGGTTGTACGTCTGGAACCACTAAAAAACTGGAAAGTGAGTCTTGACTCCTGTATTATTTTATCCTCTACTCTTGTTTAACTCCTCCAGGTTCGCATATCCTGCAAGATTTTAATACACAAAGTATTTAGTTTGAACCAGTATTTGAGTTTCGATAACTAATGAATATAAAATCATTGCGACACATTAGGATCATGCATTTGGCTTTGGTGGAGACTTTGGGGCTGTCTACGTGGTTGTAGAGCATTTGGCTTGTAAGGTGATCCAAACTCTATGCAATGTACCTAGTTATGAAGCAGGTGCTATTTTAATACCTTTCTTTAGGTACAAGTTGAATTTATCATTTCTCATATGCACGTTATTTTATTTAAAATTTCAAGGTGTATGACGCATTTATCACTAAAGGTGGACAGGGAGATCAGCAGGCAGCTGTGGGCGGCAGTGCCACATTCGTGACTGTTGGCGAGTTTCTTTGTCGACACCCGGAAGCTTTCCGGAAGGTATGATTTTTTCCTTAAAATAGCGACTATTTTCCTCCTCGTCCTTGCAAGGTCAACTCTGCTTGTTGTTCTCTTTGTGAAGTCCAAAGTATTAACACAGACCTTCTATTTTTCGTATTATAATGTCTTATTTACTCATGGTACCGTTGGCGCTTAAAATGTAAACCCGTGAAATCAGTCTTACACCTATTTAACCAAATATTAATTACTTTTCAGCTGCAAATTTCCGTTATGATTTTTGACCTGATGTTAGTGTTTTCTTGATACTTTAGAGGGCAACTCCATCTACAAAATATCCATTTTGATATAGTAGCTGATCTGGAATTTCACGTAGTCTATTTTATCATGAATAAGTAAGATCAATCTGAATATGCAGCTAATTGGAAAGCACACAAGGTTTCTTAGCGTGTGTGTGTGCGTATTGACTTGACCTTAGGCTTCTCTTTTCGAATTTTTTTCACTCAAATAGCTATTTTCGCTTTTACAGCTATTTATGAACATTTCGGGTGGATTGAAGAAGGATCTCGATGGCTTCACAGATCCATCAAACATCCCGGGAGAACCGGCACCAGGTCTCTCGTCAGCAGCACGTCTTCCCTGGTGGAACTTGATTCAGCGTGTCGGTCGTGTGGTCTTTATCCATCGGCGTCTTAACTGCCGTGTCTGCGTTGGCTTCATGCGTCCTTCGGTTTCGTCCTCGCAATCTCAGAAAGATGACAGGCAACTTCAAAAGCAAAACCAGGGTCCCTTGCCAGAATGGCAATTCGCTCTTCTCTCTCCGACTGATAGCAGAATGCCAAGGATTATCATTCCGAAGGCTGCGTGCCCTAAAGTTAAGTTGTGTATATTCCTAAAGATAATGACGACCGCAATGACAGCTTGATTCACTGGTAACCTGTGGTAACGATATCGTGCCATCGACATTTTCTTATCTAGTCCCTTAGTTTTAAAACTCGATACCTCAAGCCCAGGTGACTGCATTATGTTGCTGTTTGCTAGGATTAACTATTTGCACTATATTCCTTACCGATTCAATCGTAGTTGTTATCAAGCCTAAGCACGAGCCATTATTTAACACTCAAACCGCTACCACCGCTCTCAAAGGAGGACATCTAAATTTTCCGTCCAATAATGCTTCACGGTGAAAGCAGCTTCGAACGAACATGAAAGTTGGCCCTTCTCCAAGTGCGCCGTTTTCAGTTGACCCACGGTTCTATGTTTAAGTGTTCCACTTTATAGATTTTGTTCGACAACCGGACACGTTTAAGTTAGTACGATTTGTGGCTCAAATTCAAGACTGGCCGGAGGACAGCATCTTTGCCAAGGGGTGAGTCGCAGATCACTGAATCATTTCTGTGATCCAAATTATCAATATTGTCTTAACTCGTTGTTTGAGTTGTTTGTCATGCCGAGTTCACGTCATTTTCAGATATCAACCACACTTAATTTTTGTCCGATTTGATAAAGCAATTAATTCAGGGTCAAATCAAGTTCTCCAAACGTTTCGCTTAATCATCACATCCGCAAACCAAAAGCAGAAATATTGATTGACATTTTTTTAGTACTTATAGGTCAGTTTCAGTGAACCAAAAGGTCTTTGCTAAAGGTTTCACACTTAGGTTTGTGTTCCACATGAAAACCTAAGCTGATTAGCTTAATTTGTGGATGGCAGTGGAAGGCAGAAACTCTCAGCTTGTGAAAGTCGTTATAAATTATAAGTAGTCATTCCACTTAAATATGCGGGTACATCAAACCCACGGCAATTATTCAACATCACCACGAATTCGCATGTAGGATCCGGACGAAATTGGCAGTGAACAGTTCAAAATTGCGCCGTATAAATATGAAGGCACAGGAAAGTATTGACTTAGTGTCGTTGCTAGCTAATTGAAGCGTAAACGGTGTTTTGACGTCCCATAGTTTATTTATTAAATTACATCCTATTTAGACAACTTGTGCGACGTTTCGAGGACGCCGTGATGAATTGTATCGAAGCTGAAACTGATCGAATCCTCATAAACGTCGGCTTCCCCTACGGCGTTGCTGGGGCAAACACATTTCCCAAGGCCGTGGAGGACTACGTTTTGGAGCAGGTGGAGAAGTTGACCGCTGAAACGCAGGCTGAGTGCTCAAGGCGCCGCGATTTCAGATCTCGGTGTGTTATTACCATAGATCCTCGGACAGCACGAGACCTAGATGACGCCCTCCACGTTAGGCGACTTACTGACACGGAAATAGCTGCCTTGTCTGCAAAAGGCGCAGAGAATGCCATGTATGAGGTTGGTTATTTTTACCACAAACTCTAACCATTGCATCTTGTTACTCTTTTCACGTAATCCTGACTTCAAGGGAGTGATTTTCTTTAAACTGGGTATTTATTTTTACAAAAGGGCTTCAGATAATTTACAATTAATCGACACTAGTAGCTATTTAAAATCAATTTCTCTCGAGTCGACTTGGATTGTACCTCACCATGATCTAATGCAGCGCGCATTCCGCTTTTGTTCCATTGTAGGTGGGTGTTCACATCGCTGACGTGAGTTATTACGTGAGACCAGGGGATCCAGTCGATGTGGAGGCTGCTTCGCGTGCTACCTCAATCTACTTGGTCCAACTCTGCGTCCCCATGTTGCCTCGCGCCCTCTGCGAGAATCTCTGCAGCCTCCATCCCGGGACCGATAAATTCACAGTCTCAGTAGTCTTCAATTTGTCCGAGGATGCACAGGTACTGCCGGTGCTCACTCCTCGTGCTCGAGGACTTTGTGGGTCTCAATGCTGGCAAAGCTCTTGGACGTAGAATGAATACTCATTAGTGCAACCATGTAGCACGTTTGATGCTAAGAGTCCTTGCTCATTCATAGGGGATGTTGCAGGCCGGATTTTCACTACTCATTTTCGTCCACAGATCACTAATTCACGTCCTTACACCATGCAGCCGCTTTTCTTCAAATAACTGTGGTCAGGGCTGTCTTAATTTGTCCGTTGGTGTAGAGGCCAAGTAGGTCAGATATTTGCACACTGGTTCAGTAGAATTAAAGCACATTAAAATCGCATGCGTTGGTCTTGACATGTCCGTGTGCCCCCAACTACGTCCAAACAAAGCACCAATCTTTCCTCCCGCTACTGAATTACAGATTTGTCTTATGAAGTTCATCACGAATTGGTATGCCCAGACTGCGTTGATCTAAAGGCACGTCTGTTGACCCCGAGTGCCGCAATGGGTTCGAGCGTAGCTACTAGACGCGAATTTTTCTATTTTTGAAGTCTCACAGTTACACAAGTGGGCTCATCACTAACATCGATCTGGCTCGTGCAGAAAGAAAACAAATCCCTCGGATAGAGAGTTTGCGACCTATTCCGTTTCTGCACTTATGGTGGTTTCATGGACTCATCTAGTAATCAGTTTCAAGTGATTGGAATAGTCAACATTTCTCCTTTTTGTAGATATTAACGAAGTGGTTTGGCAGAACGGTTATTCGCTCAAGGGCGAAACTTAGCTACGAAGACGCCCAGGTAATGTTCGACCTCTGTGCGTTATTTGCCTTCTTTGTGTGCATTAAAACTGTATAGACTCGTTGTCTTCCTCGCTAAACTAAATATACGCATCCATAAAAGAGGTATTTTTCTAGATTGCATTGAGGATACCAGCGCGTACTTTAACTGGTTAAATTTCAGAGTTTTCTGGACGATCCGGAACGTGACTGGCAAACCAGTGACTTTCCTACCTTCGCAGAGGGTACAGATGTGAAGGAGATTTGCCGCAGTGTTCTGCTACTCAATGAGGTACGCTCTATTTCCCTCCCAAACAAAGTATCACAGCGCTATTTTTTATTTGAACTGGTTCCACCCTAGGTTTTACTAAATAACCTCCCGATGTCGAACAAATCACGCCAGTAATGAATGTGGGACGAGGAAGACGATGTGCTCACTCTACTTTGCGAGAATCGTTAGTTGCCTGCAGTATCTTTTTATTTGGGCATTTAGTTGATTTGTGGACAAACAACCAGTGCTCGGGTGCGCTTGCTTTTCAAAAAAATTGCTAGAAGTCACATTGTTTAGAGCGATAACAGACAAGTTTGACCGTAGTTACTGATGGTTGTTAACGTTAAGTGTACTGTTTTAGAGACTCGCGTGCTGATCAACCCACATGGAAGGGCTTATGATTTTATCGTCCTGCGAACATGCACGCTTTGACGTTAGGCTACATTGGACGTTTAGTGTGCATTTATCCGCAACTCTTGGACGTATCGAAATGCATTTGTCGAGTGATCACAGGTTTAGATATGCTGATAGAGTTGGTACAAGAAAGTCTAAAAAAAGTGGCTACACTTTTGGAGTAGCCACTTTTTTGGAGTAACAGACTGTAGATGCAACGCCTCCTCCCTTAGCTTGCGGACAAAATTCGCACTCGCCGCTTCGAAGGTGGGTCGCTGCAACTGAACCAGGTTAAGCCGGTTTTCTCCGTAGCCGACGATACCGGCCTCCCAATCGGTGTATCCCCCTTTATTATAAAGCAAGCAAATCGCCTCATTGAAGAGTGGATGCTCGCGGCTAATGAAGCCGTTGCGGTCCTGCTGGCGCGTTGGCTACCGAGGACAGCGTTCCTGCGCCGTCATCCGCCACCCACTGCAAAACAGATTCGGGAAGCTAAGTCATGTCTCCGCTCCATCGGTGTTGACGTTGATATTAGATCGGCTGGCGCCGTGCAGGTAATCCCGTACTTTTACATATGTCTACCCAACTGTGCTCTCACCTTCTGAAACCTTTGCTTGCTTCCCATATCTTTAGTGGTTTACTCAAGGTTTACCACGCGAACTCTCTAATAGGTTTCTCATGATTTATTAGTACAAGCTATTTTTTTACTGTTTTATCTATTTCGTCCTGTATAACGCGGCATAATCACAATCAGTGCGCCGCGTTATTCGCTCAAATCGGTCAGGGTAATTACAATGCTGTATCCATGTTGCCTGACGAGTCGGTTTTTAGGAAAAGAAGTTTCACGCTCTACCGGGATCTTCGACACATGGCAGACGTTAACGCACATTGCACTAAATCAGTGTCGTTTGCCTACCCCGTTTGAATACCCTGCGCTGCGTGACAAAGGTTTCGTAGTCCTTGCCTGTTCCCTACTCCCACGGCATATTCAGGGGCCTTTTGAGTGAGGCATTGCATGTTTTTGCAACTCCGAGGCTCATTTGGGTTTAGCTTTTCTAACAAATTCCGTAGGGTGTGTCGGATCATAAATGACATTTTGTCTGTAGTTGTTGTGACTACGTCTACAAACTCGATGTTTCTCTAAAATGATGCGGGCAGCTTTAAAACTTAATGGAAACTTCCTAAGCCCAGTATTCTTGATGACTGAGGCTTCTTAATGGACTAATTCCCCAAATGTTTGTGTTGTCACACACGTTAGTGTGATGTTTATTGCAATTTTCTCGTAAAGAAGTCGCAGTAGTTAGGAACCACTGGAAATTTTAGCGGGTTTCTCACCTGTTCGTGTACCAGTTGCTACTGCGTCACAAGTCGTTGTTTCACTTTCATCAGTACGTGTTCATCAGACTTTAAATACATTCGGATTTGCACGTGTTTCGGTTCACTTTGTCAAGTCGCCTCATGGTGAACGAGATATTTCCGAGATTTGCACAGAAGGCAGTTTCATCAGTGGTTACCAGTGTAAATTTGCATGTTGCGTTTTAGAAGCAACTCATGATCTCAACATCTTTATGTTCAACAAATCCAATTGTTGGAAATGTTAACGCATTATCCCGTTATTCTCAGTGAAATGCTATTTTTTCTTAAAGATACCAAACATTGAACCTTTAAACACACGGCTCCGTAGGCAGGTAAACGCACACTCTATCGGGCCCATTTGGAGCCCCTTCGTGTTAGCAGACTAACATGAAGGGTATATGCTAATGGAGCCCTCTTTTTTCGCTCACCAGAGCTCGCTTTACCGTCTCTCTGGGAATCCGGTTACGAGGGGCTGGCAACACTCGGATCGCCTCGCCGAACTGTGCGCCTCCATGACCGACTGCACTGTGAAGGTGGATGAGGCTACCACAGCCTCCAAAGAGGATCACCTTGCAGACGAGGCTCATATGCTGGCCACACTCAACGTTCTCACCAAGTGCATGAACCTCGCCGAGTACTACTGCTTGGGGGCTGTCAGTAAGACCGCCTACATTCGTCACTACGCCCTCAACATGGAAAAGTACACGCATTTCACCTCGCCCATCCGACGCTACGCCGACGTGATTGTGCACAGACAATTGGCATCCATTCTGGCCGTCAATTCAGAGAAAGGTGAGCCAATTCAGCTTGAGGCTTCGGACCTACTTATATGTCCTCATTTGACACCAATCGAGGATGAATGAACCTGTTTTGTTTATTTAAAAAATCTCTTATTACCTGCCTTGCAAGCACTTCAGTTGCTTGACAACTTTCAGTGGCTTTGTTGCCGAGTTATGTAGTCGGTCGATTTTGTATCACACTGCCGCTAATAGGAACGACAGCTTATTCGGAGTTTGATAGATAAATTTGTACCCACCATTTTGTTTGGCTTCTGCTCATCCGCTTCAAACCTCCAGCCTCTGTTGCTCGCTTCTTCCGATTTCGACATTATTTGAAATTGTTTTTGCATTCGTTTCTACAGCTTGAGCTTCGACTCATTCAAGGTGAGTTTGCATTTTATTCCAACTGTAATACCTTCTGCTAGGATTAGCCGAGTTCGTTGGAATGAAGTGTTCAGTATTTTGGACAAGCCATTTCGTTAATCAAATGGTGAGAAATTTATAATACTGTCACCGCGTACTAGTTAATTCAGCACCTGGCTAACCGCCAAACAAAAACGTTAACTTGCTTAATGGGGCACACTACGCACTTCAAAACTAGTCTCACATTTACCGATTGTAAAGACCAAAAATGACTACCGTTTCGGTTTTTAATGCGTTGCGAAATTGCGCACAAGCAATCAATCATGGGATTAGCATCACCTATGGCGTGGTTCCTAATGTTGACCGTATTTTCGTTACTTTGCAGCAAACTGCATGGACATTGCAAATGCCTATCGCTCAACTTGCATCTCGGAAGTTCTGAACAAACCAGATGAACTGGCTGCGATCGCTGACTACTGCAACGCCAGAAAGCAAGATGCCCGGCGGGCAAGCGATGAGTCCGCTGAGGTCTTTTTCACCGTCTTTGTCAAGGTGGTGTTCTTCCTTTCGTTGTTTTGACTACTGTTAGACATTATATTTCGGTATTTAGCTTTGTTTCCTATCAAAGTAGTACCATTCAAATGTCCTAGTAACGTGGCGATTATGTCAGCCATGCTACATGAATTTTAAACTATCTGGAGACATGCGCTATCTTCCCCCACAGTTGCGTAACTCTGAGCACTTATTTTGGGGGAATATTTTGCATACTTGGTTCCAAGTACTAAGTGGTCCATCGCCCGCCCCCCATGGGTCTGATTTTGTGGCCAAGGATTTGTCAACTAGCCTGAAAGGTCTCGTTTTGCAACCCCTGGCCTAGATTGGCGAAAATTCTGCCATTTTACACTGACCCGATATCGCTGTTCCTTAGCCTGACCTCGGCATAATTTATCACAACCACATCTCTCTATGCTACTCTCAGCTTTAACCCTGCTGAAGTGGGTGTCGAACGTTATCATTAATGTCTTTTCCTTTGGTTTTTTTCCATTTGTAAACCTGACTTTTTGCCATATCTACTCAAATGCTAGATGCATGAGAGTGGGGATATCCAGACCGGTTAATTGGTTTCCCGCAGTAATAAACCACTAGAGAATTGTGTGAATCACGATTAAATAGGAAATTTATAATCAAGTTGGATTGCAATGGTAATTACCTTATGTCTCGCTTCAGGAGTGCGGACCTCTCACGGAGGCCTGCTCGGTCGTCAGTGTGTTCAATCATTCCTTCGACGTGCTACTCCTCTCCACAGGGATTGTGAAACGCGTTTACACAAATGTAAGCCGTTTGGAAAAGATTTTACATTATTGCTGCTAGATTGCACATTGCTCAAACGCTTAAGCCTTAGCCGAAACAGGGCCTGGTTTGAAGTGGCCACGGGTTCAATCCACAGACCTTGTAGTTTCTGTTGCGAGACTTTTACATGTTTTGAGTATCTTGCTCTCAAAAATTCCCACAAGGTGTTCTTATCTGTAGTTTGTTTTACAAAAGCCTCACGTTTAGTATGATTTAATGACCCTTTTGGCTTGTGCAAGGCCGTGGTTTGTAGTTCAATTGACCTGGGCATCTAAAAGTTCGTTGGTGAACAATATCGATCTCTTGTGGCTCATTGAAGACGCTCTTTATACGTGCTTGGGCGTCCCAGTCCATGTAATTTAGTCCAAATAAACGCAACAATCGCCGGAATGCTTTAGGCTAAACCAGTAAGCGCCGCGGCCAAACTACCACGCACTTTACGAAATCGCTATCTGCTTTTTTGTGTCCTAAGAAATTGGATCTTGTGACGTTCGAATATGAGGAGCCAGAGAAGGAATATAAAAGTATCGCAGGTACCGGCGTTCTGCATCTTCAGTGGAACGTCCGGCTTTCCTCCAAAGAGGAAAGTGGTACTCCTCTGATTCCCAGCGATCCTGCTATCCAAAGTGCTGTACCAGCAGCCACCAAGAGCGATCACTCGGCTGACGAGCCTACCGAGCCACCACCGTGCGGCTGTTTTCAGCAGAAGGTGAAACTCTTTGACCTCTGCCGATGTCTCGTCGCTGTGGATGAGGGCAAAACGGACTCCAACGAAAGCAACCGCCTTCCGAAGCTAGTGGTAGGTCGTGACGTTTGTGCTTATCTCTGTATTACTGAATTAGGCCCGTTAGGCTTCCGTATTTCAGTTTCAGTATCTGTCGGCACAACATTGCATGGTCTCGATCATTGTTGTTTGAATGCATGCTTGTGGAAAGGTGATTTTACGCCATTTCCAAACCGTTATGGTTTTAGTTTTATTGATCTCAATGTAGCGACATATCCTGTATTTCGAGCCAGTGAATCTAATCCTAAGTTATGAGTGTCTGCAAATTGTGCAAAGTCGCCTTTCCTGTACTTTGGCTAGTGTTGTGATCCTTTTTTCTTTCATAATTTCAAATTGCCCTTATCTCCGGTTCCGGTAGCGTCTTTTGTTAAGTTTTTTACTATCCTTGTACACATGCACGCACGTACACGGCCGTGCTAATCCACTCAGACTCGGAAAGCCACTTATTCGGCCTCGTCACACCAGCTCCATCAAAAGTCGCCAACCGTTTTTTCATCTAAGATACCGTTTTCCAATTCTAACTTCATCTTCGCCACCTTTGCATTGTCTGATGTGACATATTGTACCTACGGATTGTAGATTTGCATTTTGCAAGTAACTTTTAGAGTTTCTGGCAACGACTGCCTCCAAGCTGACCGAAACCAGTTTGTTTCCTTTCTGGGATTTTCGGATTGTCACAGGACATTTCGGAACCTAACTTTCTCCCCGAAGACTACTCACCCCAATGCGATGGGTGGTCTACGGCGACCCTTGCCACACCTTTGGTTTCACATAAATCAATTCGAATGCAATTAGCATGCATGACTGAATTTGGAATAACTGTGTTGCCGGGGGGAGAGGGCCTAATGCTGCACTTCGTCTGTTGTAGGTCAGAATACTGCGTCCGACCTGTGCCCTCTGCCAAGCCTACGTGTCGTAGGACACATAAAGTGACACCAGCCACGACGAAATGTTGCTCCACAGTTTTTATCTTTGAAGTCTTTCGTTGTCTCCAAGTGCACTGTTATACTGTTATTACCTACCTCTATTATCTGTAAGGCTTGGCCGTATTTTGACTAATACTAAGAAGCAAATAAATTGACCTTCTGCACATCGCTTGTGCGCGTTCCCTTCTACTGCCCTGGTTTGTGTGAACGGTTTTGTATTGCCCTCTCTTGCGCTTTGTGTGAATTTTAATGCATTGTTACGCTGCAGACTTTAGCCCCTGTTTACCAAGCCTCATGAAAGTGGACTTTGTGCACAATTAGTAACTCTCTATAATAGTACAAAATTGCTGGGCACCATAGTGCATGGTCAGTAGCCTCATCGTCGGGTCGTCATAAAACATTCGTTTTGTTTCGGCCAGAGAGTGTCGTAATGGCCAAAAGCGTGCTTGATAAGATGGTAGCGGGATTGAGCATGACGAAGATGAGTTGAGACCTAATTTTTGAGGTAGCATGGTAAATTGTGGTCAGGTAACTTGAGACGACCTCGCCTATTTGCTATCACCTGTTCTTTTGCTCGCAGTTCCGTGAAGTATCGCTTTCATTTGCCCAAATTTCCTGGCGGGAAGACAACAAGAGTAGTGTTCCCGAGCAGCCACCATAAGTGCGATTCTAAACTAAATCAGCTATGTCGAAGTCTGCTACTTTTGATTACGCGTTAAGGGATTTCATTCATCACGAGGGCACTTCCACTGTTCGTTGTTGTTTTTTGCCTTTTAGCTGTGAAATGCGCATCGGAGTGGGCATCTGCCTTCGATGCACTTTATATCAACGTGTCGTTTTGAGCAATGCAAGGTTGAAGTCGTCCTCAGTGAGATATCTGTCCATTGGCTACCAATTTTGTCCCTATATTTGAGTTAATTTTAGTTTTCCTTCTCTTTAACTTTAGACATCGTTTCGAAGATTTGATGCCTACTGGCCAAGGTCTTTTGTCAATCGTATGCTTAATGCCGATTTACTCGTCGAGGTATTTTGTGGTTAGTTAACTAGAATCGCTTTCATGCCGTTTGGTCTGCTGAGGTCAGACGCGCGTCTGAAGTGCCCTCAAGTTCTCCCTCACCTCACCTCACACCTAGACGAAAAGGGATGTTCGTGGAAAAGGTCCCATGCGCTGCTTCCAGATTTGTATTGCCTCGAATCAGATTTGCTAAGACGGTCGAAACAGTGTCCATTGTAGTTATGGAAATTCACCTCTTTGGGATGCATGAGGTCGAGCCAAATTCCTAGTTTTGGTATTCTCTTGTGATAGTGGAAGTTCATTCCCTACTGGTTGCCTTTCTTCACAAATGCGCTAGAGGTAAAAGTGTCAGGGGTCAACCGCACTGTAACACGCCTGATTGTATTAATATTAAAGTAACGAACAAACTCATACAACTGAACTATTACTGCAATTAACGAATGAAATATTGTTTTGTGGAAATTCATGGTGGAAGCCAACGGCAAAATGTAGTGATAATTTGGATTTGATGCATTTCGCAGTCACGCGTTTTCTTCACCGGTGAACTCTACTAGTGCTTTGTTTTAAAAGACAATTTGTTAGTTTCCCCGTCTTTCTTGAGGCTATTTTCAGTTTTCGAAAGTCTTGTTTTTGTAAATCTTAAAACATATGGCCAGGTGGTTTATTCGTTGTTTCTGTATTGGTTAATGAAGCCATGCCAAGCACGGTCGACCTTGGGCATTTGAATGCAACGATCACCTAAACTCGAGACAGGTGTGTAAGGTAGGTTACCAGCTGCCTAGACCAGACCTTCCGCTGTCGCCAGGGGACGCGCTAATCGTTGTGTGCATTTTCCTTGCCAGGGTGACTGGCCTAGCAAGGTCATCTTGGGAATTTGGCCTGAGTTTGATTTGAGCTCTGGAGGATGATCCTATTTGGACCATTCTTGTACGTTTCAATGTTTTTTCCCTATCTCAACATTAGCAAACCTGTTCGAGACAATGGAAATCTGAAAGTGGGGCCCAATTTTGCACAAAAATCATTACTTAAATTGGGATGAGTTTGTGTCATTGTAAAGCTCTCAAAGGGCAGAATTTCGAAATTCTTCGCCCTTGTTCTTACAGTTTTTATGTGACAAACGCATTGATAATTATCAACAATGGCCTGTTCTCCGAGTACTCAATAAAAGCTTCTTCTTCTGCAGGGTCGCATTTGCTATACTTCACCGAACTCGGCGTTTGTTGTGAATCCTTCCGACGGGAAACGAATTCTCATCTTTTCAAGGTCGCTTAACCGAGCCTTGCCTAATGACATTGTGGCTGTGAAACTGGACGAACTTGAGCGCTGGCGAGTAAGTGCGGCCCTGTGCGTGCCCAAAAATGCCATCCACCGACAAAACGCGGAAAGCACACAGTAGTTGATGTTGCGCCAATAAGCTAAGCCAGTTATTCTCAATTTTTGGTGGCAGTTTTCGTTCTTAGTAGATAGGTTTTATGGATTTGATTTACATCCGTCTCTTTTGCTTTGTACATTCGAATGCCTTTCGACTTTCGTTGCCAATTCACTCCACTGATGATCTGATTGCAAATATTTTTAGGTAATCGAATGGCAATGAAAACTATTTGCATTCTCAGCAAAAATGCAAGCGTTTGGTTCATCGCCTTTCGTGTGATTAATATCAGGCGTTGTTCATTTAGATACTGTCTTGATTTTGTGCCGAGGAAATGCGTAACTGATGCCTACATCGGGAAAATTATATCGATTTCATATTCTTAATTTTTGGTGGCAGTTTTTGTCCCTAGTAGACAGGTTGTCTGGGTTTGATTTACATCCGTCTCTTTTGCTTTGTACATTCGAATGCTTTCCGATTTTCGTTGCAAATTCACTCCACTGATGATCTGATTGCAAATATTTTTAGGTAATCGAGTAGCAACGAAAAATATTTGAATTCTCAGCAATAATGCGAGCGTTTGGTTCATCGCCTTTCGTGTGATTAAAATCAGGCGTTGTTCATTTAGATACTGTCTTGATAATATGACGAGGAAATGTCTAACTGATGCCTACATCGGGAAAATTAAATCGATTTCATATTCACATGAACTACTGAGTATATCCAGTACTCAGAAACACGAAAAGTTGGTGTGTCAATTAGATGCGTCTCATCTACGATTTGTCCAATTTTGTTTAGGTCCTCGCTTTCTTGGAGGAAACTGAGGAGCGACCGGTTCAGAATACGACCCCAATAATTCCCGCAGAAGCTGAAGAAGAATTTCTTGATGAGTCCAATGACGATGTGGACGCAAACGATGCTAGTACCAATAACACCAGCACAACTTCCAACTTTCAACTCTCCATGGAGAATCCTGGACGACGCGAAACAGCCCCCTACCCGACGGTTCGTGAGGTGCTCGAAACGTCACCTCTACTCTTCCAGAAGCTGTTCCCTGGTGCTGAACCATCTTTCATTTCCAGTGACCAAAAACCCCTGGATCCACTTCCGAGTCCACACCTGCTTCGAACTGGACGGGTTGTAAGCATTTTGGGCGAGGATTCGGCAAGCAGACGACTGATTGGACGCTTGGCGTTTGAGTCGGCAGTGCTGTTGCCGTCGGCCTTCGCAGAAGTGGAGCAGGAGGATGAGTTTATGAGGCCAAAACAGGGTGTTGTTGAAGGCGTTGATGGTTTGCCCGTGGCTGTCCCCAACGTCAACTGTTTCCTAATACCAGAGAAATCTAATTTTCCTCGGGTCAAGCTAGCCCCTTCATCCGTCCCGGATGGTATGCTTTTAGTAATATTGTGTTGCTTTAGTTCCGCGTCCAATGGTCATTACACCGCAGCTGACCCACTTTTCACCTCAAATCCGTTCTAACAGGCTTCACAACCTATTTTTAGCACCTAAGGCGCCCGTCTAAGTGAAACCTCAGCCCTATTCAAGTCTCATTTGGCTTTTCATTGATGATATTGAAGATTTTTTTAGTAATTCTTTATCCGAGTTTGACTTCTCATAGCAAAATCTACCTGCAGAATGCTAAGATCTGAGATGGCGAGGACATGCCCAGTTATTCGTTATCCAAACGCAGTTAGATTAGTGAGTAGGCAGAGATATTGTACGCACAGCAATCATTGAGTAAACGCCAAGCAACACAGGAGGTGCTGGAATGGATTCGAAGCATCAAACTACAGGACAATTTATTCATTGGCTGTGCGTGGTCTTTGCGAGTCAGTTTGAAGGCATTTAATACGAAGACAGCGGTCACTGTTGAGGATACCTGGACATGCCAAAATCGCTTGTTGCGTTTCTCTCGTAGTAGTCCGCTCCCTTCTGTCGTCGGGTCGTAATCGTGTAATTTGCTATTCTTGGTGGAGTCATTGGCCGCGAACGAAAGGGTACATAGCGGTGCTAAAAGTCTAGCAGGACCTCCTCATTAGAAGTCTCTTACCTACATCGAATGTGGTAGCCTGGGAAGTAATCTTTTTTCTCCGATCCACCTGTAAATCGGAAGTCACGGCCGTCTACGCCGATCACCTAGTCTGTTCAGCCGACTCAAGCTGTGGATTGCACCGCGTCTCATATTGACGTTCAAAAGGGGTAGTCCTTTATGTGAGGTGTGCTGAGGTCTGATTTTACCCGAGGGACCCAAAGGCTGTTGAGACTGTCCATCGGGGTGTGAGAGAGCGTGCTTGTTCGTGCAACTTCGTGAGCTGTGGGCTTAAACACGGGAGTTTATTAACGTTGCGACAAATGGATTGCTCTAAGGATGAATAGGCGTTGGGTTTCCCACCACTGAGCTCTTGTGTACAGAATTAGTCGTCAATTGCTCCTCTTTTAATGGCCCTGGCGGGAGTAATTTCTTTTACTTGAGGAGCCCAACTTTTTGTCAACTTGATGCCTAAGTCGAGTTCTTAAAGTGACAGACACTCTCGACCACTGTTGAACAGGAAAGTGCAGCCGCGCAATAAAATGCGGGGATGGCGAGTTGGAGCCAAAATAACAGAGTTTAGGATGAAGCGAGATTGGCAACTGCCTATTACTACCGTAAATATAGGCAAAAATTATGTAATCTGCGTGTTTGATAACCAGTTATTTTTCTTCGCAAAATTAATAGATCTTTGGGAGAATCCCCATAAATCTGAGGGTGTTCGATATTTCTGTGAGATCCAAAACTGGTCTCCTACGTCGACATATCCTATGGGGTAAGTTTCCTTTCATCGTTTGAAGCACTAAGCCGCAATTGTCGTCAACTGATGAATTCTGAGGGCGCTCTCTCTTCTCTCTTCAGGGTTCTCTGTGGACAAATCGGTAACCCACAGGAAATCGAGCCAGCTACTCAGGAGATTCTCCTGTCACACGGCATTTACGAAAAGGATTTCACCGATGAAGTATGCCGTCGTTTTTTGCATAAAAATTAAACTTTGTGAAGTATGTGGCATTACACAAAATCGCATCCTTCTTTTCTGCTCTACAGACACCGATTTTCCCATAAACCCCTGAGTCGTTTTCAGCTTCAGGTCGATAAGTTGTCGATATGTTTGCATTGAACTCTTGCCAAGATTATGTGCTAGTTCCAAGGTCTCTGCTTTGCGATTTTTTTCTGGACTGGTATAGCCCAGCTTATTACCTTGAGTTATTTAAATGACTCCATCTTCAAATCGAACTATCAGTCCCCTGCTTGAAATGTAGCCATTCAAACTGTGCTTGAGTACATTCCAATATCCAAAACCGTTTCTTAAATTTGCCCATTCGTATCCCTAGTTCTGTTAGTAAGTACAGGCATTTCGGTGTCTGGTCGGTTTTCATCATGAAGCTTGTCACACACACACGCACGAGCAAATTAGTTCCCCTGAACAGCTAGCTAACCTTTTTCTCAACAGCGAAGCTTTTATTCCTTCTTGCAGATGGTGAAAGAATTGCCAGCTTCGGAGGCTGACTTTGTGATCCCCAACTACGAGTACTTGCGGAGGAGGGACTTCCGATCCCACTGTGTTGTCTCTGTGGATCCTTCCACTGCCAAGGATCTTGACGATGCCTTGCATGTGAAGAAGATCGCGAAAGGTAACGCTGATCTGATCCACTTCTTGGTCGTGGTAGCAGGCTCTTGGATGTTTTTTTTTTGAACGACAGATTCCACTATTAATTAAACAAGGAAGCGTTGAATTAGCCCGATTACGTTATCATGTTTTGGTTTTAAATTAGTTTCATTTGCATTACTTTTCTAACTGCAACCAACTTTATCCAATTAGACATAAAATTACACCCTTTTCTTTATTCTTCCTTCTTATTTTCTTTTCTGAACCACTTGCGGTTTCCAGGGGGTTCGAAGTGACGCATTTTTTAAGTATCATTTTGTCCCAAGCTTGTGTAATCTTACCGTCACAGTCGGCAGCTTGCTTATGGTTTCACAGAACTCGCTACTAGTTGTGAAACAGTCTAAGCGATTGAAAGGGTAACTGTAGTTATTAGCAAATAAAAAAGTACAATTGCACCTGCAGTGGCTATCGGTTTGTTGAAATAATTTAAGTCCCTTATACTTGTCATTGAATTACTCGTAGGAACCCCAGTGATCGGCGCTTCTGTCAGCACCTCTATCCACTCATCTGGCCCTTTCTTTGTAAAGCACTTTTTGCATTCTCACCCATTTTAATCGCTTACTTTGGTCCAGCCTGTCCCCTGAGTTTGGAAGACTTTTTTTTCAGCCTACAGTGTAAATTGTCAGTAGTTAGTAAGCATTCGTTATCTGTGCACCCGTGCCCTGATAGTGCATCAGCTCATTATAAGTGTTTCCCGTGAGCCGGTAGGGGTGATCGAGTTCCTCATGGTTGTTCTTTCAAGACCTTTTTTGGCTTCCTTTTCATTACTTTCATTCCAGTCCCTCATTACCTCTCAATTTTACATTCCTTCGTTTTATTAGAGGCCTCGTGGTTTGCCTTTTAGACGTCTACGAGGTGGGGGTGCACATTGCAGATGTGTCTTTCTTTGTGCGTCCGCTGACTGCTTTGGATCGGGAGGCAGCCGATCGGACAACGTCTACATACCTCGTCCAACGGGTAAGCACCTAATGCGGTTCCTTTTGCACACCCATCGGTCACCGGACTGCAAATCCGCCCGCTAATTTTGAGGCAAATATTTGCTCCTAAATATTCCTACTTTAATCTCAGGTAGTAATCGGTTATCATAATATAATTTTCTTCGTGAAAACAGATCCGGAAATGCTGTATCTATATTTCACAAATCAGAGGGTTGCTTTCGATACTCCACGAGCTGGAATTTGCAGCTCGGCCCCGTGAGGTTCGTTGTGTTGAAAATGACTCTAGCACCAGAGATCGTTACTGGCCTTGTATCCTTATTTCTGAGGTAATCGACAGTTTAGCGCGGTCGAACCTCGCATTGTTGTTAGTTCACGCGTTTCGCAACTTGTTTATCACTTCTGTTCAGGTTATCCCGATGCTTCCACCGATCCTGTCGGAGCACTTGTGTAGTCTAAACCCAGGAGTCGATCGGCTCGCCTTTTCTGTGGTGTTCAAAGTCGACAGGAATGGAAATGTGCGTAATTTCACTTTCTTCGTTAGTTCTTTTATGTTTACCACTACAATTGCACACGCACACACACTAATGTAATGCTTCTGATCCTGATGACGTGCTTTATCCATACACCACGAGCCGTGAACCTGCGCCCACAATGAAGTACTTCAATAATGTCTAAGGCGTCGAAGTACCATTGAAATGTTGTTTAAGTCGTTTTTCGCCGATCGTGCATTTTCGTTTCAGATTTTGGAAGTGTGGTTTGGGCGATCGGTTATTCGTTCGTGTGCGCGCCTCTCCTACGAGGACGCCACAGCCCTCCTAGATACGCCCTACGAGGAACTGGATTCCCTCAGCTCACGTATTCCTACCCAGGATCCCTTCACTCTGGAAAACGTGAAACGCTCCATCACCTACTTGGATATGGTGAGCTGCTGCAATGCCTTTACTGCATTTTGGTGCTTTGCTGGTATCCACTCGTGGTCGCTAACGATTTGGCTTGTAGCACATGTGTTCTTCAATATACCCCTACCACGTACAGAAATGATCCAAAAGTTGCCGCTTGATGGAGTTTAAATCAAGATCTGCTGAACTTAAAAAAACCAAACTTTATTAGCGGGAAAATGAACTCACTGATAAACATGTCCTCTGGTAGTGGTGTGGGGTCAGTTCTGGAGACCTAGTAACATGACCTCTGAAAACGTGACCAAGTAGTGCCTTCATGCCAAATATCGACTGTGCTGTGGCATGGCCGTCTGCACAAGTGTAAAAAATGCGATTCCACTACTAGAGCGGTCGTAGGAAAAATACATTGGGCTGTAAACTAGTTGCAAAACCCCTTGCAATTGGTGAGTTACTGGCATCATTAGTTTTTTTATGAGGAAATACGGACCTCTCAAAAATGCACTAAATTGCGCATGTATTTTGATGCCACGAGCGAAGCAAATTCGCGAGTGATGTTAAGGGATCCTGTAAAATATTGTGACGGTATGTGTTGCAATTGTGACACGGCCACAATATGCGTGACGAAACATCGAAGCGTGCTGCTGGTAACATCGAAACCCAATTGTGTTAAACGCGACTTTGTGTTTATAGGTTTTTTTTTTCATTTTACACCGCATTCTAAAAACGTGTGCGCGGGTTATGCGCTGGCTTCAGATTACTGCGTGCTTTAAACACCGCCGTTAACGTTTTTTGTCGGATTACGTCAAGTTGCCGCATTCTATGTATGGCAAGACAACTTTGCCAAAGCCACACCTGATTTGATAAGACAACGCGTGTGACGTCGTTTTGCACTTGCTTGTAGCTGGCCCAGCAGATGCGAAAGCGACGAGTTGACAATGGAGCACTTCTGTTGGACAAAATCGAGTTGCAATTTGATCTCACTCCTAAGACCCCAGAGGACATCCAAAATTCGTACGTTTTGTTTTCCTTCCTTGTTATTTCGTGTCGCAACCGCACTACTCTAAATGCCCAAATACCTGTATGATGTAATATTCCCCATCTACCAACTTAATAACTCAGATGAATGTTCACGACAGCGCTTCATGTGGCTTCTTTGGACTTTATTGCCATGCCGTTAGTGAGTGAATGCCTGAGCCGCGCACGAGAATCCACGACACTTACTCCAACCGTTTGGCTTTTTTTGATCCAATTAAACCCAAGCCAAAACCCCCTCCTGGCCTCTCCAGAATATGCCATGGTAGAGCAACACGGCCTTACAGATAGACTGTGTGAGGACACGTTTTGCCCTCAACATCACCCCCCTTCGTTTTCCTTTAAGTTCTTTAAAAGGCGGCAACAAAAGTGACCAAACGCCGGGATGGCCCCGCGGCTACACGGTGAAGCAACGCGGCCGAGCCCACTACCTCATCGAAGAGTGGATGCTGGCCACCAACCAGGCTGTGGCCAGGCGCCTCTTTTACGAGGCCATCAAACGGAAGCACGAAGAGATCTTGAAATTTAACGAAGACGTCAAGGAGGTCAAACAAGAAACTGAAAAGACCAAATTCCGCAGCTCCCTGGGCACGATTTTGCGGAGACATCCTGCCCCGAAGGCTTCAAAAATGGAGGAGCTGGTGAGGCCTTGTTCTTTTTACGCCTGATTTCTCGGACTAAACCAATACCGTTAGCTCATAGCCACAAAAGACGCGACCATAGAATGAGCGACGATTGTTTCCTTGCACTTCACAAACCACGTTCGCTTTTTGATTGTAGGTCAGGATCACCACCGCGGCTGCCATCTCAATGGACACCTCTTCGGCAGGCGCCATGCGTGTGAGTATGCTGTTGACAACACTGACAGACTCTACTAAATTACGTCAATCACCCACGCATCTGAACTAAAATTAACTTTTTTTGGCTCTACTTGCCTGCCCCACACGCGTTGGCCTCGCAGCGGATTTGCGTCAATCCGACTAGAGTGACCTAGTACATAAGCAGCACGCGGTCCAATTTGTTCACAAGACACCTTTGTAGTAACGGTGATAACCTCAGTACACCACGAAAGGCGTGGTTCCAAATTCGGACGCTTTCTTTCCTTGGGTTCCCATCAGCCCCGCCCTTTGAGTCCAATTGGCATGCACTGATCTCAAACTACTGACGTCTCAAGTGGCATAACTGGATTCTTGTTTGGTTTCCCCCAATTTCATGCTTTTTTTAGCGTACGCACAAGGCCTTGTTATTTTGATGTCGCCCCTTTTGGCATAGTCAACTAGTGACTTTGGCATCCATCCTTTGGTGGGTATCGTGCGCATTCAATGCCTTCTTGTTGGAATTCCCACTTTCATTCCAATTTATTGTGGCGGCTTTAAGGGCTGATGGGCGTATTCAGGCTTCCGATCACCCTGTCCGACGCGTGCTAGTGGATTTTGCGACTTTAGTTGAGATCACGGTCGGACAACTTGGCTTGATGAACGAAGTCACTTGCAAGGCATCGTTAGTGCACCCGACGTGTTTTAGAGTGCAATATGCTATTGAAGATGTTCGTGATACTTATCAGTGTCGGCTCAGACGCAGTTGGGTAAATTGACAGAAGGCTGACTTCCACAACTCATTCGATTACTTAGTGCAATTTGTACCGCGTGTTTTTTTCTCCTTTTTACTAACAGGCCTCACTGGACGCGCACATCGCTGAGCTTCGAGAAAAGAATGTGCCCCAGCCTGACATCGAATGCCTTTCCACGGCTCTAAGTTACCTCACCTACATGCGCATGCAGGTAACTCAGGCGTTGTTTGCGAAAGACCATAGAAGCGGCAACTGGCTGTTCCAGTCATTTACTTCTGTGTCTCTATTTTGGATCGAGTAGTAATGTCGAACGAAATTCAGTCTAGAAGTAATGCCGTAGGCTCTTGTACAAACATAAAAGTTAGTCTAAGTTCGCTAGGTTTCCATGTTGGCTAATATAAAATAGTTTAGTACGCTTTACATTTTGGCATTCATAATCTCGGGGTTGTAGTGAACTTGTAGAACGCAATAATAAGGAGAAAATTATTATTTCTACGATTAACAGTAATTGCATAAAAAAGTCAATTTCAAACGTTTGCTTGTAGCTGCATTTGTTTAAACTGGCCATAATGTATTTTGGTTAAATATCTTGAGACGTGGACGGAAATGGACGCGGGTGACGATTGCACTAAAGCGTGCACTGTCTTGGTTTCCCTAGATGGCTCTCTACTTCAACGTCGAGGACGTCGTGGATCGGGCTGTGCGCAAAGTCCGTCGTAGCGGTCAGGCCTCTTCCACCGATGTGTCCCACGAGTCCTGGGAGGCCTCCCTATTGCGCTTCTCTCACCACTTCGGTCTCAACGTGCCGCTTTACACGCACTTTACTTCGCCCATTCGTCGATACGCCGATCTGCTGGTGCACCGTCAGCTGGCGGACCTTCTGGGGTGCGGCCACTGGTCCTGCCCGAAGGCCCCCGGCACCACCACCTCCCGGTCGCCGGTGTGCCCACCGAAGAGGCTAACCGTGCAGGCTGCCTGGTGCAATCGAATGCGACGCGAGACGCGCCGAGCACAGGAAGAAAGCCAGCAGCTCTTTCTGGCGGCTTGGGTTAAGGTGAGGCCTTTGTGGTGTTGTTGCCAACCTAATTGGGGATAGGCTTTTGCGATGCAACTCCCGACCTGTGGAGATTGTGTAGAGCGCTCCTCCAATTAGGTAGTTATCGGAACAAATAGCCTATCTTTCGTCGTGTAGACTCGGTTTAACTTCTAACAGTTCCTCTCTGGACTCCTGACCTTCAGTGAAAGTGCTAGTTGTAACTAGATGTCCCGTCGGTAAATGGTCCAGGCTCGCGAACTTCCATATTGCAAAGTAGATTATTGTTGTAACATTGGCTTTCTTCGAGGTCCCACGGGGCAGCATTTGTTTCCTGGTGATATACTTTATCAGTCTACGTTTCGATCTGCTCGATCTCACCAGCAAGGCTATGATTGCTCAACCGAATTCTGAAAGATTTGTTTTCTTTTCGTTTGGCAGTGCTACTTATGTATTTCGTTATCTTCCTGTAAGCCTGTGCCACATGGAACTCAAACACAAGATAAGCAATCTTGAAAAAGTTGGCCTCCAACACCACATTGACTGTCATTTTCGTAGCCACTGCTTTCTAGCTTTACGCCTATTTTTACAATTCAAATTTATTATTTGTAAATTCAGTATTCTCTCGTCTTATGTCATCATTCTGCTGCTAACATTCGGCATCCTCAAGTGCCCACTGTTTGTAATTTCTTGCCTTTTTTTAGTCGAACGGGTCAATTCAGGATAAGGCTGTAGTGCTCAATTTTGGTGGTGGAAAAATCCAGCTGCTCATTCCTTCCTGCGGCCTCATTCTTACCCATCAGCTGCAAAAGGTTAGTCTGCGATACGTGTTTTGTTGAGCGCGTTGAGTGCCTGAACCACTTTGTCGGTTTCTATTTTTCCTCCTTAACTGGGACCCGAAGCGGCTCAACTTTGTTGTTGTTGCTGCTGCTGCTGCGGGTTGTCACCTTCCGCTGACAAACGCGAGTCTTTCTGTTGCAGTTTTGCCCTGCGGCGTCAACCTGGCAGATGAGCACGCGATGCGACCCACACGAGACTGAGCAAGGCTCTGTGAGGCGTTCGCCCCTTCTCACGGTGAAGTGGAGGGCAGACGGTGATAGCGAACAAGGCGACACCGTGAATCTGTCCGTCCTCTCGGTCTGTCCCGTCCAGCTAACCTGCAGCTCAAGAGGCTTTTATGTCAAAGCCGAACTGCTCTCCCCCAAGCAGGCCGAAACATCGACGGGCTCGTCCTGTACAGTTTAGCTGCGACACCGCACGTAGTTTTACACCGATTTTAGTAGAGTGATGTGTATAGATGCCTATTTTATTATTTCATAATTTGTACTCAGTTTGCTTGTTTTTGCAACTGGAATGGGATGAAACCGAACGGAAGAAGAACTAGTAGAGCTCACTGCAAAACTGGTTCTACCAGCACTACCTTAGCAGGAACAGTTGGACAATGCTAACAGCACGAGCAAAATTATCTCATTTGTCATTTACTCGATTAGTTGCAGCCTTTCACTCAATTGTTAGTTGACACTTCTTTTTGGCAAGTGCGCCAAACCGTCGTCAAACGTTTGTGTCCCGGCAGTGCCACTTCAGAGGGGCACTTCTGAGTTGTCTACAAGCATCTGCGGCTGTGGTTAGCTTTAGCCAGGGAACAATTTTCCAGAAAGCCTAAGTGCCAGCGCTCGCAGCTATTTTCGCGATGCATAGTCAAATGAACAATGCATCGCTACCAAGTCTATTTAAGGAGTATGTTTTGTTTTCGTGTCAATTTCACCTAAAAAATGCTTAGCCGTGGTAAACGCGTAGTCGGCGCATCACATTATTCGTCGTCGTCTTAGCTGCAACAATTTTACTTGTTGCCCCAATGATGCAAGGACTTAAGTTCTGTTATCACTATATAACTTGACGCCTATTTTACCTATGCCCCGAAGCTGGCAAAATTAGTGAAAACGTACTCTCCGTGCTTTTTTTAAAAAAATCCTTTAAAACAAACCTGAACACATCTTTCAAAAACGTAGCTCTTTGAGTCGGGGTGTTGGGGAGAGGGGTGGGGTTACTGCGTCGACTGTTTCTGTGCAGTATCAGTCTGCACGATGTCAGCGATGATGCCTTTCGAGTCTTCCAATGAGCGAGCCACCGACGAGGACCTAGTCGAGCGTGTGTCTCCCGTGGTGGAGGTGAGGCTGAAGGAGTCCGAGGAGAATCGCGAGGTGGACGAGTCGCTCTTCGTGACGCTCTTGCGCGTGCTGTCTTCCTCCACGGTGGAGGAGCCCGCGTCGGTTGCAAGCGGAAGGCGCAGGCAGGCGGGGCGGGAGGAGTAGGAGGCGCCCGGCTTGATTCCCTCGAGCAGGGGCTGTGGACGGCTATCCAGGGTGAAGTAGTTGGGCTGGGGCGGCAAGTGACGAAATTCGCTGCCCCTGGACCCTCCCCGGTTGCCTGTGGAGGAGTCGTGGGAGAGGCGTCGGTGGTGCTCATTACGAGGCGGCAGGCTATGCCGGCCGTGGTAGCAGTCGGGAGTCAGCATCTGCGACTGCATGGATCCACTTGAGGAATTTCGCTCTAACGACATCAGCCGACACACCTCATCCTAAAACCGAACGCTTGTGTGCATTCAACAGAACTAGTAGATTCTAAAAGGCTCGTAACACCGATGGTGGAAATCACCACTCATCATTGAAAGAATTTTGCCGAAATTCGTGAATGGATTTGCTCAGTTTTCCAATTACTGTTTCTCCAAACCAGTTTTATCCTAGGGAGTGGACGAGAACGGTTCAAATACGATTACTTTGTAGAAGCGAGTACGATATCCGGCCGAATTACCAAAACTTGTCAATTTGAGTAGTTTAGTTACCCAAGAAAGGCAAGTAAACACATGGAGTGACGTTATCTGGTATTCGTAGAATGTCAGCTTCGGGAAGCTAGTTACTTTTCGTCAGAATGTTTCCGCGTTTAAGTATTGTGAGCATTCGGATGATTGCGTTGCAAAATATGTGATAAGTTTGTTGCTGTCAAACCTAAGCGCCGATAAATCATTAATTCCTACACGTATGCGGTTGCAAGTCGGCACTGGTGAGCCTGCTTTTTAAGCTTACATGTGCATGGAACCAAACCACTTACTTTTTGTTGGTTTACTAGCGAGACCCAGGCATCAAAGTCCCTATCTTCGCTTGTAAGTAAGTAGCTTTCCACCAGCAAACCGAGGTCGTTGGTAATAAGCCCCACGTATGAGCCTGGATCTGAAGAGAATTGCAGTCAGTCAGTGGGGTTTATGTTGACAAAAAACAATAGACCACCTGGCTTGTCATCTCATGCTGCTTGTTAGTCACAAGTTTATATTCTAAATAGAAGATGCACTGTGCAGTCAGGCCACAGTGTAACCTGGTTCCAATGTGGTGCTCAATACCGAAGTTGAAATAATCGTTTGTTAAACTAAGTCTTGAGTTTGGCAGTCGATTGTGTGCTGAATAGACCTCGTCTGTTGGCGCAAGCTTGCTCCTTGAGGTGGAATCACCACTCCGTATACTTCGTCAATCAAATTTACTAATGGCTGATTTGCCGGGGCTGTCTTTAGTAAGCAACTTGCTGTTGACAGTTACTTCGTGCGCTTGTTCTGACCCACACTAATATAGTAACATGTCATGCCTATTGAAAGCCTACCCTTTGTTCTTGTGATGACGCATTAAAAACCACTTTAATGTCACGCTCGTCATGCTTGGGTGGTATTGAATCGGGCGAAATTTTTATTCACTCGACTGCTACCAAATTAGGTTTTTAATTGAGTCTTGGTGTTGAATGCACGTGTTCGAGCCGCGTGTTTCCTTTTCAAACGATGTGTTGTTTTGGTTTAAAGGCACCAAGTGAACTTGAGGCCAAAATAATTATTTTACCGTTGTTGCCGGTAGCTGTTTGAAATGCTTGAGTCAGCTATTTGGGCTGGTTTTAGTTGAAATCCCTTAAATGTTTAACAGGAAGATATTGTAAATGTTTCATTTCTTTAATACGTCACAATTTGCCTAGAAAACGTGCTAGAGCCGACATCAGCCATGCAATCTGACGTGTTTACGTACTTAAATGATTCCCTAGCTCTAAGCCCTGGCACTTAACCCGTTAAATGTCAACTTTGAGGTTATAGTCTGAGAGGTTAGAAGTTAGTGAGGAGTACAGTGGTCGACACCTTCAACCATAGTTGCTGTAACGGCAACAGAATTTGCAACTCCAAAAGTAATATTCTTTAACTTACGGTCCCTTTTGCGAAGGATTGTTAAATTTTTCAGCGCAATCGGTGGTCGGTAGACACTGAGATGCTTCTTTGAGATAGACTGTTCACAGATGAGGACCATGTCTGTGAGTAGAACGCACAACGCATCCGAAACCTGCAGTGAAAGCGGTCGTGAAGATTGCCGGATTATTCCGAAACACTGCTACCTTAATGCACGCCTGTGTCTAGAATTTGATTGCTCGGCGTATCAGACGCGTCAGCGTATTAATAACCAGCCTAATTTTTACGCGAACCGAATCCTGTTTGTGTTACAATCACTTTCTCCATAAGTCGAAAGCGGCTTGATAGTAATGTACATTTGCTTGATTTCAATTGTCGCCTTTGATGTTGCTTACGGTGTCACGGTATCATGTTGCAGTTAAAAACAAAACCATTAGTCTACAATTGTGACAGGCCATGCTTGCTTGACATGAATGAAATTCCTCCAGCTTTAGGGATTGGAGTATGCGAAGATTTTGCTTTATATTATTTCTGGCTTTTTGATCAACCTTTGGCATCATTTAACTTAATTTTCTCTGTTACTTTTAAGTAGCTGTTCACATACATTTATTTAGCGGTAGCAAAAGCCTCTATCATGCAGTGTCTTTTGTGGGGTAATTTGGTTCAGTACGTTAGAATTTCCTTTGAAATGATCTAGGCCATGATGTTGGCTGTATTTGCTCACTTTCAACTATTAACCACTAGGGTGAAATGCAATTATTGCTCTTAAATAAAAAAAAAGAGAAATTTGGGTTTACCTTTCCGCCTAAGCATTTGACCTTGGCCTGCACTTCAGCGATTGGCTCCCGCGTGCAATGGCGCCCGTCCAATTTCATTGGCCGTTGCAACATTTGCACAATGTCTGTTGACCCAAATGGCAGATCCACATTGAAATCGGACCGAACTGTTTCAGCATAGGCATATTTGGAAATCCGCTTGATGAAACTGCTCAATTTTGTTGCAGCATCTTGTTTGTTGTGATTGAAGTCGACTTCTCTAACAAAGTCGTCAACTGCAGCGAGCTGAAATTGCGGAATGTAATGTTACATTGAAACCATTCAAGCCATCCGCTAACATCTGAATTGGAGGGCAAATAGCCATTCAGGATGCGTGATCAGGCAAGTCAGGCAGTTTATGCGAAGACGGATTTTCGGTCGAGGTAATAGAACAAATATACACCTTGCTGAACAGGGGGATTGTCACTTCTTCATTGATTTTACAATCTCTTGCATAGTTGGAGGTGTAATCCAACCATGATTTCTTTCGTTCTTTATAGTGAAGGTTTCGATCTACATCTAGACTGTCCGCAAAGTGAGCTGCAAAATTAGCAATTAAAACAAGGGGAACCAGATCAGAAAGTGAGAATGACGAAACAAAACACGCCTCTCATTATTTTTTGAGTCCTCTGCAGAAGTTCTTCGAAGTGTGACAATGTCTTAATGCGGTAAAACACGATTCACCTGCTGTCTGAGGTCTGGCACAGTCGCCTTTCCAAGTACTTCAAATTGCTCAACTTGATTAACTTATATAACAGCATATGTTTCTACTATGGGATAACCTCATGATCCCATTACATGCAAAGCATCATCTTCGTCTATTTAAACGACATTTTGGATATCGGTGCAACACATATTTCTTTCCCTGCCCATTTGCGTTTCTGCTAATGCAAAATATTCACGGTCGCGCGCTTCATGCTTTATGAAATTACTAAACCTCCACAATTTAGGTGAGTAATAGCAATTGAGGTCAAATTGGAATGATTGTATTGGCTCGAAATTATAGCTGATATTTTCAGTTGCAAGAAAACAATTTTGCAACCCACCATTTCTTCCAGGGCAGAAATCTCGTATTCGTCGGCAGTCGACTCTTCGATTCGTCTGAGTAGAATGCCATATCGAGTTAGTCGTTGAAAAGGCTGGGCTAGGAGTCCAGTCAGGCTCTCCCGGGAGTGCAGTGTGTTGTTGGATTTGGTCCACTACAATCGGAACAATTAGAGAAAGCACAAACGCAAGCTTATTTTAGTCAATAAAATATGGTTACAAAGACACTAGTCAAATTACCGCCCAAGCCAACTTAGTGGCATTAAGGGGTTAAGTCGAATTTTGTCGGATTGCGCAAGTATTTCACTCCGAGAAATGTAAAGTAGAAATGACACGTCTCTTTAAAAGTAGGATTAATTTAATTAAATCAGCTTTCTGGTTAAAAATAATATTTCTAAACGCAGTACAGTTGAGCAGGAGTTAGATTACTCAAACATTTGTATGAGCTGTGATCCGATTAGCAGGCTATTTTTTCCTGGCATATAAATATCTGGATTTCCGAAATTGGACTTTTGTGGGCAGCATTGTTGCTGCATAGGAGGTATTTTTGGAGAATGGTGATGTTCGCTAGGAGGGGTTTTTTTTCCTAATTTAAAACAACTTCGCCGCAGACACGTAGTTGCACATCATTTAGGAGTGAGGCCCCAAGGTAAATTAACACTTAAAATACACCAAAACGTTGATTAAGGTAACAAGCGGCCCTTACCTCGTGGTACGCGGCGAAGAGCTTGTTATTTTCATCCAAATACTTTATATTAGCCACGAGGGTACCGTACGTTTCCATGAAATCCACGTAGGGATGGAAGTAGCTTTTGAACTGAAATATTTAGAATTGATGGTTAGAGTAACAAAAACTCAGGTATTCCTAGGAAGGCTTATTTTGCAGTTAGTAACTAATTTTTAAATTAGGTAAACTTCGAATGTGCCAACCAAAGTGTCGGTCACACTACAATCATTTCCATTTCCTTCGTCCAGTTGACTACCGTTCTATGTAACAAAAAAACGGACTTTTCTGCAATGGTTTTGTTTACATTCTAGCTAACTATCCTTTTAATAATCTTTTTTGAGTTTATCGCAATCAGTGACACTTTTAACCTTATGCTTATATTACTTTACCTGGACTTAGGGACGCACACGTGCTCAGATGTCTGCTGCTTTAGACAGAATTAAAGCTCAACCAAACCAGCTTAAATTTACAGGTAGTGAATGCACCTAATCTAAAGTTGGAATAAAGTTTAAGCGTAGTGATGACGAGGCCACATATTAAGCAGGCCACAGTTTCAATCATAGGATGAATACCTGGGAGAAGGTCTTTCGCATGCTCCGAATACAATGCTTCACGTCAATCACAGTGTCATCGATCAGACAGGGTTCGAAACAATCGATCCAGAAGCGATGATTCACTGCGTAGATGGCTCCAATGTTACCAAAAATATTCTCGAAGGTGGTGGCAGGAAAACCAGGAAGATCACCGAGAGGGATTGCAGAGAGGTTGCTCAGGGAGGAAGATGAGGAGGAAATACCTTCAGGACCTCCGCGACTCCACAGACGGTTGAGGTGGGCCACACTGCGGATTCGTTCTCGAACAAAGCCTAAGCCAGAGCCACTGGTGGTAGCTGGCTCGAGAAGATTCTGATCGGTAAGGGAGTGGACCAGTCGGTCATGGGAAGCACCGTGGTATAGCAAGTGGGTTGACCAGATTGAAGACTTTGTCAGGTCAATGTAAACTGCAACGTGAACCTGTCGAAAATGGAAGATGAAATCATCTCTTGTCCTTAAATCATCATAGAACATTTTTTGTTGTTTCTCAGATGCAATTCGGTTTGAACTATTTTATTCGCTGGTATATGTGGGATGCATCAAAACCACATCGTCTTCCAGTGCAAGGACTGAAGCAAGCGCATTCAGTCCATCCGGATCTCGCACTGGTTCGCCAATTCGACAAACTGGGTGCAGCCTTTAGATTAGGCCGGCCGCTCGAAGTATGGCTTTTCAATTCCTGCTCATTTTGCTTAGTACATAGACGTTCCTGTGCCTCGCACCGTGAGCCCAAGTTAGCACTGAAACACGATGTGCGTAAACATGCTTCACACAGAGCAGCGATCAATAAAACCACGAAGACGGTCATGGCAACTGCGCATTAACAACTTATTCTGAGGAGACCGCTTGGTGTGAAGATGCACCATTCCTGTTTTTCAAATTGGTGTCTTGGTACAGGGCTTTTTACCACAATAATAATTGAGGCTCCGATTGCTCTAATCTGAATTAGCGAGGGATAATGCGTGCTTTCGCATAAAGCACGGATTGACATTAAACTCTGAGCCTTATCCGCCTTTGAGAAGGTTGTATTGGTGCTTATTTCAGACCAGCCGCATTAGTTTTCTTTGATTCGCTTTTGGTTGTATCAGAGTGCATGGCCACCATGTTCTTAACCCTTATCGAATGCCAGTGCGACCATCATATGACAAAATGGGGCACCATGCAGTCTGCATTTACATGATCCGAATTCTCTCCACCTTTCGTTCGTGACGAATGCGTAGTGTGTTGATCTATCCTATTTTATGCACCAAGCTAGAGTCCCTAGTTTACTCAGCACGTGCAAGCCCGATCATGGACTTTCGACCGATCAGTGATGCAATTTGAATGCAGCATTTATGATGAATGAGGTGGCATCGTCATGAAACCCTATGGTATGAACTCCTCGCCACAATGGGTTCTCAAAAAGTGCTGATCATGCGAATGTTTTACCTCTGAATCCATTCGCTAGGCAGCACGCGGTAAATGCAAGAATTTAAATCAGGTTCTTACTTATTTTGGAGTTCTGTAATTCGCAAGAGAAGTCACAAAGGCCAACTCAAAAATGGATTGTTAGTGATTTTGTGGTGATTTTAAAAGTCGACTTTGCACATTTGTTTGAGTTAACTTGTCGTTTTCGTTACGAAACCTGAAGGAACAGTATGCGCAATTAACTACGACGAAAGTCAGTTGAGATTATGGCTAATTCTAACGTATTTCACCTCGTGGCAAAGCAAACGATTTACACAATGCCTGCACACACGGATGCTTGCTTCATTTTGCAACCGAATCACGTGTTTCTGGGCAAGCGTTTGAGCCATTAACGATGCTCGAAGGTGGCGTAAGTATTTGTTTTATATGCAAAAGTTTTCAGTTACTTTTTTGCATTAGAAATTGCATTGTTAGGGATCTAAATCCATCTTTATGTCAAATAGGGCCAATAAAATTGGATTCAAGGCATTTAGTTACCAAGTGGAGACTATTTGCAGGCACTGCTTGTTGGTTGACAGGGTTACGCGGTCAGTGTAAAACAAACTGCTTGTCCAATGACTTTTACTGATGACAAGATTAGTGGAAAACAGAGCTGCCACCGAATTTTAGAATTGATTAAGTATTTATCCATATCCACTGCATTTCTTGACAGAATATATGCGAAAATTGCAATATATCACTCGTTTCAACTAGACAGTTATCGCATTTGGATGTGTTAGGTGACGAAAAGAATGGCTTGGCGATGTTGTTTAAGGGGTTCTTTGGAGTAACCTCAGCAGAATGGTTGCCTTTTTTGTTTCCCTTGTTTCCTAATTCAACCCCACAAGCTCTTAATGGAAATAATATTAATTTATGCATAAAATGCCACATTTTCTCAAATTTTCCTGCTGTTACGAAAAAGATAACTCAGGGAATACCTAAGTTTCTGAGTAGGCATACTCTAGCACATTGCCCGGCACTTTGAATGTGCTTCAATCAAACTACCTAAATCCTTTGAATGGGTCCCAGCAGGATGCTAGCTGATATGAACATGGAAGCAGACTTACATCAATGATCATCTCCAGGGTTTTCAAGTAACATGCCTCCGTATGCAGAAGTTCCATTATCGCAGAAAGTTGTTGGTCTTTGGTTTTTCTGTTTGAGCTCTACAAGGACAAAAAATTAATGCGGATCTTAATGCGTCTTTGAGGATCAGAATGGCAATCAGTCAGTACTTTTGATAAAGGGTGCATTCTCCTCAACCTAATGCTGGAAGGTCCCACTTCAGTTGCAATTAGTTTCCTATTTACGAGTGGAATTTGATGTTCCGACTAACCCCAGCGAGAATTGAATGCACTATTCACATGAAATTGGCCTTACAATGCTTGATCAACTTTATACGAAAGTAAACATGAATCAGGGTGTTAACAAATTAATTCCGCAAACAATTTTTTTTGTTTCTTACATTTGAAATACCGTTTGACTCCTGAAGTTCACGTGTTGTGAGTTTACTCCAAATCTTCTCAATCATTGAGAAGTCGTGTCTAGGCAAATTCTGCGGGAAAATGCTTAAAAGTTCCTGAGGAATTTTCGGTAAATTTCCATTTTCAAAAGCTTTCAAACGCGTCATCAGGTTGTCCATTTGTACCTGAAATAAGAATAAGAATGCAAACTTATCGAGAAGTGAATAGCTTATGACCACCACCGAATGCGAAATGAGTAAAAATGGAGTTGATAATTATGATGGTGACGATGATGATGATGATGACGATCATGTTTCTTTTTATAACGACGTACCATGAACCTGCCTATTTGATCGCAAGAACGCTCACGCCTGCGAACCACCCTCAGAGGTCTCTATTGTGTTTTGATAAAAATGTATTACGGAAACAAAGTTTGAAAAATTATTGTAACTGCAGACAACTTACCACAGCTTGAAGATTCTCCTCCGTGTTGATTGAGGGAGTAGAACGCGCGAACATGCGACCTAGGCGGTGTCGGTGGCCGCGATCGCGAGCTAATGCAAGGAAGAACTCGCTTATTGTTAACTTCAAACTTCCGAATATTGATTAAATAAACTAATCAGAGTCAATTCCATGTACAAGTGATTTTATGCCACCAGTCTATTGAAAGAAACTTGGTGCATGCAGACTAGCCACTCGATGTCGAGTTGTGACTGAGGTGTTTGTGAGAATGCAGCCTCTTCTAGTCTTTCTTGCATAATGCTGCACGGTAAATTAGGTTCACATGTGCAAACCTTTGACAAAATACGAGCGGAAACCTTCGCTCAAACTGACCAACTCGAAGTGTTGCCTATTGAGTACCAGTTGTTTTTATAGTACAGATAAACCTAGTAGCAGCACCCAGCGTCAGAACTAAATACACTCATCAGTGGGGTTGTTCAGCTCAAGGGAATAAATAACGGCGAACTTCATGTGCACATTTCTTGAAGTCCTCAAAAGTCAGTCGGTTCTATTTATTTGATAATGCTTGACCACAAAACGTTTTTCGCAGAATTTGCCAACACGCACCTCTCTGATGGGTTTTTTGGTCCCACGAGGCGCAGCTGATTCCCGATGTTCTATCGGGAGTTATCGATGGTCGGACCTTTTGACGAAGCGTAACGGACGATGATTGGGAATTGACTTGAGATGTGGATCCATTTAAACGGCTGTTCCAGTCCTGCTGTCCATCGTTCAGTACTGTCTCTGAGTAATGAATCCAAGAGCGTTGCGAAGGAACAGGTTTTGTCGTCATTTCGATAAAGGCACAGTCACTGAAATGGACAAGTCATCAATCGTGCCCAAAAGTAAAAAAACCAAGAAATCAGTGCCAAGGCTGGCACTTATTTTTTTGGATAGAGTAGAACGTATTCTATTTAAAAAGTTGCTACAAATGATAAACAAGGAGCCAATGTGTTTCATTTATCAAGAATTGGAAAGCTTCCCACAGCTAATTTATTTTTGAACACTTCCACAGATTATTCTGAAGAACATACAGGCAACTGTGGGGTTTAATCTCCAGTAACTACTCTGAATCCAAATTTAACAATATCTCACAAGGAATCACTTCGAAGTTGGGAAATATCGAGAATTTAACCATAAGCATTACACCAATACGAAAATGGTATGTAGTACACTCAAAATGTCTTCGAGTGCTAGTCACTTTTCTGGATACCTGGGGAACTGCCTATCATACCACAATCCATAAGTTGGAAACAAAAGACCTGAAAATTGGATAGACACTTACACATTTTTAGCGGGGCTTGTTTGTGAGATCAAAACAGCCCCACAAAGGCATATAATTGCTCTCAAGGGGGTTGGTTGGAGTGAATGCGTACGTGTGCGACGTGGCCTGACATTGCTTGGGGCATTTGCTCTTGTTTTTATATTCCTCCAGTGACCAATCGTGTGCTGCCTGTGTGGCACAGTTGTCAGCCTTAAGTTGCAAAGGGTGACCACCTACACCACTTAACAGGCCTACTGTTTGTGCTGCCTCGCGTTAAGTCAATCGAAGAAGGCACTTGACAGTATCAGGCCAATGACGTAGTCATGGTATTATTTGCATTAACTTATTCCAGGTTAACTAACCTGATTTTGGGGGCTCAAGTTAGGATTAAGTCAGAGTTTTGCTTCTTTTAATGAATACTGTTCTCCTGTTGTTAAAGCCATCCAATGAAACGAGTGTAGGCCCATTTGGCTGCCGTCGAATACATCCTGAGTTGAGAGTTTATCTGATTTTATGCTCAATAAGCATAAAAATGAAAGGCCCTAATCTTTTAACTTTCCACGCAAAGATATTGAGGTACTGCATTCACCCATGCAGACCCATTTGACCTCAATTCAAACCCCACACATGTTTTTCCTCATTTTCTATTTTTTAAGATACCTTATTCATGAGTTAGCTAAGTAATCTGACCTGTCTGCTGGTCAGTCTCAATCGAAATCCATGATCCGATCTTGTGAATAATTTGTAAGCTTTTTCAAGAAAAGTTCTAGAGTCATGTGCAACCACTTCTTATCCGTTTAACTTGGTTTTAGCTTAATAAGACCTCATTAAACCAGTTTCAGTTGTAACTTGTTCCAACACCTTCTTTTGCGTAAAAAAGCCTTTTCAAACACTGTAATTTACCTGAAATAGCTGGATTAGTTATGAGTTACCAATGTATGAACCAAATGTTACTCAGGATTTCAATGTGCTTAATGCTAGCAGACTGCTTTTTAACAGTGGCCCTTAGGGGTTACTTAAAATCAATTCCACATCACACAATTGAAGCTTTATCAAAAATCGTGAGATTACTTCATTATGCATAGAGGCTTTCACGTCAGGATCATCAAGATGCTAGTGAACTGCATACCACTGTTCCCCCTGAATTAGCTGGACTTAACATTGTTGGTTGGTATACATTAAAGAAGAAGTTAACAATAATCTACACCAGTCATCAAATGTTAGAATGCTGCATTTCCGGTTCGCGCCAAACTATCAGGATACAAAAGGCAATGTGAGCTCGATTCGAGGGAATCAAGCAACTTGGAAGCACGGGCCTCAGCAGCAAGGCACCCAGATCAAAACCCCGTCAGGAAGGTGTGGTTATGTTAGGACACTCTTTGTTGTGGTGGTTTTAATTCTGTTGCAATCAGAACGGCACCATGAAAGTGCTATTCACATTTGGAGTGAAGTTCCACCGTCTTTCGTGAATGTGATCGACAGCCAACTGTTTGGAACCCTTTAACGTGGCCTACGCCGATGCGGTGCAGATGCGGACCTGCAAACTGCGTGGTCTTACTCCTAATTATGACTATTGATTAAAATTTAGTGGAATTCAAGATTTACTACGTCGGTGCGTTCTTGCTTGGAAGTCAGTGGTGGCTTAATTGTAGTTTATATCGGTGTCAAAGGCATGTGTAAGCTATTAACTTTGAAATTTAAATTTTGCAAATTTCCATTGCTTGAAGTTACCTTAATTAGGTAATTCCTCGTGTTTGGAGATGTATACAAAGATAAATTTGATTTAGGTAGTCAGAAGCAATAGGGATTGATAAGACTGTCAATCATGCCTTTGGTAGGAACGTAAATTTTCGTGCTAAAAATAGTTTCGCATTTGATTTCGCTTGCGTAGATTAAGGACATTTAAACACGTAAGCTGGTCGTACCAGCGCCTCAGGTAACGTGACAGACAGAAGCATTCGCGAAAAACTGGTTCCATAGAATGAGGTGAGAGCCTGGGTGCACCCAGTCATGTGACAACTCGCCTCTTGTTAATTAATTAATTGATGACAAACGCAGTTGGTACACCCAGAAGGGCCTTGCCAGCCATTACAAGAAGAATCAATATTTGCCAAAGGTGGCACTGAAGGCGCAGCAACAGGAAGGAGGCAAATAAATTACTACAAAGATCCATTTTTGAGCATCCGAACTTACGGGGCCCATTTACGCGGTCAACGAGCTCAGCTCTTGCTTGTTTCCCTCTGCACATTCTGGGCTTAGATGAAAAAAAGATGACAAAATGCTGCAATCAGTGAGATAGTTTTTTGAGGGAAGAGTGACATTCGCTTTTTGGTCTATTAAACTTCTTAACATTTATCTACAACCGAGCTTTGCGTTTGGGAATGCCGAGGACAGTGGTTTATCTAAGTAATTTGAATTAGATGCTGAACAATGGCAGGTAGTTCAAGTCGCAGTAAACTTGGATTCATTTTAATTGATATTTCTTCAGAATTTAGTAGACTTACTGTAAACGGCAGTTGGATGTGCTTGTCAGTTAAATCTTTTAAAAACAGTCATTTATCTTGAATTTTAATGATTGGTTTGCAAAATTTACCATAATGGAAGTCATGAGTATATTAATTCCAAAAATCAGTTTCTGGCCTTCTGCTGGGAACGCTCCAGTTTTTCGTGTTGTGAGAACAAAATAGCACTTTAACATCTTATTCGCCTTGAACCCTCACAATGGGTCATCAAAAACTAAAATAATCGACGTGATTAAATTGCAAATTCATCGAGACGAGACAGCCTAACGCCGCATTTATTGCCCAGAGAGAATGAAGTTTTAGTGTTGAGTAAGGATGAAGTAGGACGACGCTTAAAAACAGAATCAGAATTCTGTAAAATATACAAATTAGAAGCGAAAACACCACCACTCACGCAAAATCGAGTAGGAAAGGTTAACAGTGCAATGGCTAGAGTCAATAACATCAGGCAGAAGCTGCAATGAGTTGCTGCATCCCGACTTCAGCTCATGCCTTTAGCAATAGTCCTAATATAACAGTTTGAAGGGATGACTATACCCATTCGTTATGACCAATGGAAAGCGAGAAATAAACTATTCATTTCACAGTACACCTTGAAACTTTTTTCAAGTTGCCACACAAGCACAAACTAATTTCCAAGTGTCTGGTGGAAGGCATGCTTTTAGGACAAATGCTGCTGGAAGTAGTGCAACAGCTGCAAGTTTAAATTAATTTGTTTCAAAAGCACACCCACTGAAATGCGTCTTAGCGTACAGGGAGTGACAATGGGTGAATTCGGTGTGCTCGCAGTGAAATTTGTTCTGACAGCATTGTTTGTGAGCTGCAATCTGCACCACACGCTTAATTAGATCCCCTCTGTAAAGATGGAAATTGCTCTTTGTAATTCGGGGGCGCAATGACTAGGAAAACAACCTTGGCATCTGAATAGGAGACGTAATCTCGCTTAGGAGAGGAGGCAACGCTCGATTCCAAAGGGTGGGAATTCTCATGAAACCTTCTTTGTTTTTGGTTGCAGTACTCTGTTCCTTAATGTACACACTTATCAATCAAATTGAAACGCTAACTTAAGCAAGCCCGTGGGAGAGCAATTACGAAACCTCAACATCTGGGGGCACTTTTAGTGCGAGGGTTCCTTAAATACCTTTAAATTGGGTGATTTTTGGGACTGGGAGTGAAGACTAGGGAATGCATTTTTCTGGAAATTGGTCCTATTTCATTTGGTTGCATTTGTGTAGAATGTTGGACCCCTAGTACACAAGCCGTCATATTTATGCTGTCCAATTCATGTTTTAAACAACAGTATGCCACTAACACTTGGCTTATGATTTTCCTAATAATCATTAACGATAAGTGTGAGTTATGCTTGTTTTTACTTATCGTATTGTTACCTGTTAAATGTTCGCAAATTGTTCGAGTTGTAGACATGTGATAAGGGGCTTATTAAACGCTGATAACCATATTAAGGGTTTATGGTTTTTTACTAATTGTTGTACGGCCGAAATTCCTCTAACAGTTTATTTCAACAGAAAATACAGTAGACCAGTTGCCAACGATTTTTCCGCCGAGGCTATAGGTTGCATTCACACTTGCTGATTTGCAGTTCCTTGCAGTCAAAACAAATAACTCATTAGAAAAACAACTATAATTTGTGCAGGTCACTTCAATGTATGCATAGTTATGTGGCTCAAAACCATAAATTTAAGCATACAAAATGTTAGTCGCAGTGTGACAATAAATATTTGGAACAAATGCATCCATCTATTGATCTGATTCGAAGTGCTCTGTGATGCAAGACTATGAATGTGAATCGTCGAAGTGCACAAGATACTGTGTGCCAAGGTTTTTTTTTGAATCCAAACCAAAGCAGTCCCATTAGGTTGCACTCAAGGTGTCAGCATTTAACCGGTTTGTAAATTTCACTTTCGACTGCAAATAACCCAGTGCATAAACTTAACAAAATGCAGTACTGCTAACTGCAATATGTTATTTTGACTTACTCGCTAGGAGATAGGTGATTTGTCGTAGCTGCCGGGATCCCTGCAGAGTTTCCTCTTGAAATTGTGATCTTGTAAAATAAAAAAAAGATTTCAACATTAATGTGCCTATTACGTGTTGAATTTAATTATGTTTTTCTAAGGCAGAAACATTTTTTTTGCTCAACCTAGTTATTTGTTAATGCTGTGCAAAAGGCGCTGCGTTCACATAAACTGGCTCCTGCTTTTGTGGCTTTAGTTGAGCGAGCATGCACAATCAGGGCTTTAAATGTACATGAAGGATCTCAATTTGGCGCTTTTAGCCGATAAGACACACAACGAAATTTGACACCTATCAGGCAAATTTCACTACCAAATCAAACCGCGCATCACACCAATGGCTGCGCTTTATAGTAGCACTTTAGCAATCCTCCTGCCCGCGCTTGGGAAAATTTGGACACGCCGCTGTAACTCCAGTAGATCAAGCTTTATGATGTGTGCTACATCAAAAAATCCCTTGGGGAAACGAACATGATGAAACTTAAGTCTTGATTTTGAGATTGAACACGACGAAACGGTCGCCTGGACATGGGCTTGGTTGTGTGGTGTGAAGGAGCCCAGAGAGCAACACTGAAGTCATCCATTTAGGCTTTTTTTCGACAAGGAAACCTTGTGATGGCACACCGAGATATGGTTCTTTTTTTACGGGTTAAGTCATGCGTCGCAGCGGTCGCAGTTACGTTGAATACCTCGTGACACTAAATGACTTTAGTCTACGAAAACGTCACGAAACTGCGAACGTAAAGTGCACCTTTTATATGTTCGGTAAGCAGATCTCTTAGCCAAAAGTTGATCTAAACAATGACGTCATAAATGTCATAGAGACTGCGGACACATAGACAATGTCACCAAAATTGTCCATAGGCAGGAATATGCGAGTTTGTATCTTGGATCGAGTAGATATCCACCGAGCAGCCTTGCAATTTGAATATTATTAGTGTGATTTTCGACGAAAAGCAATGCCATGAGAAAAATACAATGATTGATGTATTCCACGGAAGTAAAACAGATCGAAAACAGTTGCAAGAATTACACCAATAATCCGAATATTCTACCACGTACTAGGTGAAGCGCTCAAATCAGGAGGGCCCAGGTAAACCTATTTATGTGTTTTTTGTATTCTGCAATTGACATCAGGGCTCAAAAGGTACACAGAATTCCAGGGAGTAAGTCTGTGCGTCAATCACTTTATATGGCTATCGCCATCACCTTTTTGTTAAAACATCTGGACACCATGGTAATAGTCACTTAAACAACCGTCAACCAAATTGGACTTACGGCTGAATTCGAGCAGTGCCGTTTCATTAAAGAATTCCGACGAAATTGAGCTGCTTGTTGAAACTTTGGGGAGTCCTCCTGTCCAAAAGATGAGGTCCTGAAGAGAAAATTAATGACCAAGTCCAACTGGTTCTGGTTAACAGAAAATTTTGCAGTTCCCTCGGGCGTATACAAAATTGCATAGTGGTTATGGTGTGAGCGGAGCGGGATATGCATTTAGCAATCTTTTGGGTTATTCTTAGGCACTAAAATGCGGTGTGTTTCCGAGAAAACTTTCTTCGCCTTTCACTTCCCACCGCAGATAACAAACCACTCAACTTTTAGTTTAGTCAGTTGCCTAGCCTGACCTTAGGACTTGATGCAGCCTTTTAATCACTATCAGGAAAACTTTATGTTGGGTTAAATTGTCGATGTGTCAGATATCATGTCGGATCTTCTAATTTACTGTCAACTTTTCCTATATGGCGTTGGAATACTTGGTCTCCTCTCCTGGCTCTAACTTATGTCTGAATGATAAGCCGAAAATTGTTTATCACTCTCATTTTTGAAAAAAAAACCATCTGATGCCGAAACGAGGCAACAGGAGAGTAGACTAAGGTCCCATTTCTCTGGACTCCATTTTTTCGCCACCGTTCAACTAGACTGTTGTGGCGCCTCTATTAGCCAATCAGATGCAAGTTGGCCTTTGAAGATAATATCCTCTCTATGTTAACTAAATGAATCTTATTTTATAAAGTTCCGAGGAGCCGAGGTTTCTTTTTCTTACCCCAAAACTTTTCATTTTCAGAAAAAAAACCCATCAGTATAGCAAGCCTTTGTTACAGGAAGTATGGGATGCCTTCTTATGGTAATGTTTGGATCAACAAACGTCTGTTCGTACTTAAACACAGCCACTGCACTTTCCCTGTATCAAAACCTTCCCTAAGCACTTATGGTTCGTTATATTTTCTTAAAACTTTCGAAATATGTCTAGAAATCCCTCTTAGAGTTCTCGGGTTTCTAAGGAATCAACAAAATTAAACGTAGGTTTCGAGAATTAGTGATAAATATATATAGTACGCTATTGCATTCGTGAGTAGATGCGGTTTCTATTTATGTTCGTATTTTATCAGCAAAAGATGAGAGAACATCTCTACTCCCTAAGACGTGTTTTAAAATAGGGCACTAACGTGTAGTGTGGCGAAACTTCAAAAATAATTTCAAAATTAACGATCTCTGTCAGAATAGGTAGATTTGTTAAAAAATCAACTGAAAAATAGTTATGAAAATATCTAAGACATTAATGTTAATCTCAAGAAGACGAATGAAAAGCACTGGATTAACTTAAAGAGTTGTGTCATTAATTCATCATCTCAACTTATACAGGTGACGTCCACTAAAGACACCTTAAATTTCGGAAAAAAATCAATGGGTACTTCTGTTACACCCTAGGGCTACATCTGCACCTGTTGATGCAGGAATAGAAAACTTCTGGAAACATTAGTCTTCATACAGAAATAAACACCCAGTACAAGCATCACCTGCCTTACTTCTGGGTGAATCTCGTCCAAAAGGAATTAAACATCAAACTGTGCGTTGTGCAGCTCACGTGAGTGTTAAAAATTCAAAGAGAAAGTGTTGAAGTGGTCCGAGTCAAAAGACGACCATACCTATGCTTTTGAAGTCGTGGCATGCTGTAGAATCTGCTCATCAATTGTTGAGTGTGTCTATGCCAATAAACCGTGCGTGTCCGTTTGGTCGTTTCTGTGGCTAGAAAGTGGCTCGTTGCAGTTTTGCATAACCACGCAAAAACAGAAAACACACACACACGTCACGTGAGAGAGTGCGCAGAAATCTTTAATCCTGGCCTTGGCGTCAGGAGACACAAACAGGATATTAAATGCGACTATCAACATCACAACTGCAGACTTGACTTTCGAATCACCGATGTTGCTCATCGCAGAGCTTTAACGCCAAATCACAGGCGTTTTTTTTTCATTTCAATGTGCTCTAACATTTGTTAAATAAGGTATTTATTGGTTTTATTTGAAATAGGATCAACCAATTTAGCAAAATATAACTAATTAGAAAGATTGGGAACGCGGAACTCATTTACATTGCTTGGGGTTAGTAGCATTTGGAAAGGCGGTAAATCGATTTGCACCAAATGAGTACTTGTATGGTTTATTAGCTGTAGGTTTAACGCAAGTACACGACGCTTTTGTTAATCTCGCAAAACGTGGCGACGCTCAGTGGCTATATCCTCAGAAACTAGAAACATCGGTCATAATCTGGAAGGAAACGCCATCACTTCCATCAGGCCTCAAAGCTGTTAATTTCTTGGAGGATTCACAGCCGACCATATCCCAAGTAGATCGATTTTTCAATTTCCGAATTTCATTAAGAACGTATGACTACTTAACACCCATAAATGCAGTCAAGGCAGCTAGGTACTCAACTCAAAATGAAGTTAAGTGAAGAAATCATCGACTCAAATGAGTTCATAAAACCACCTCCTTTGCATACTATCAATAACTGTAAGTCAAGGGACCGGGTCGAGATGTTGCAAGACCGAAACCACCGTGCAGGCACAATTACCGGCCTGGCAGCTTTGTTTTGCTCCGCATCACATTTTAAATAGTTAAGAAGGTGGCGCAGTTAATTTCACGCAGAAAGCAAAGCAACTCTAACCAGCACGTTATCGCATGTTACAGCTTTCACAAACAAGATTAACTATGCTACTGTTTTACCTGTTTTTCTCGTAAGGCAGTTTTCTGTAAGATAAAACACGTTTTGTTAGTATGAATATCCAAACGCATCGATTTCCCAATCCGTCCTTCGTTAGTGCACGTTTACGACAACGACACCATTTCGGTATCCCACCTACACATGTTTGCTGCATTGTCAAGATTCCTGCAAACGTTTCCAACAATTTAATTGTGTCACATTGAAGACACTTGACTGAATCACCAAATTAGCATTAAATTAGCGTAGTTAAAAATGACGTGTTTTGAGGGGTGGTCAGAAGATATTAAAATCTTCTATCCCCTGGTACTCAACAAATAATCTGAATGAGCAGCTTTTTGAAGTACCCCTTACGCTTTATTTTTAGTGAGGATTAAACATGGAGGCTTATGAAGCCAAGGTTGCATTCTCAATCATTGTTGTGGAAGCAGCAGCAGCAGCCAATGAATCTCGCAATGCTGTAAAATTTTATGAAGCCGAGGCCTTCCAACGAAGAAGGCGAATGCGTGGATCCCATGCAAGCTTGAGACCCTTACTGACGTTCAGTACATTTTTAAGTCAATACAATGTGCTACCAAGTAAATTAATAGTTGGTAAATCTGATACCTGTTGCGCATCGGCAGTGATTAGATGCAGATAGCTCTGGGTCATGAATCGGTTTCTGGTTTTTTTTTTAAGCAATTGGCATTTTTGTGCTTCTTTAAGACAAGTACACTTACATTTCCGTCATTTCCAGGGTTGCCATTCTCGGCCGATTGTCTGTAAACCCACGTGGTTTGGTCTTTTGCCCATAACTATCCGACCTTTTCCGTGGAGAACTGTCCCTGCTGCCTTTTTCTTTCATTCGAATTCGCGGTTGCTCTCCTTGCCTGAGCGCCTCCGAATGATCAGATGAACCGATAATCGTTGATGTCTCATCGTCCTTTAAGTTTTGCCGTGGAACGAGGCCCTGGCGCTCCATTTTTACCTTTTTTGGTGACAGAGGCGGGGCTTCAGTCATTGTCATCACGATCGTCTCACTGTTTGACATTCCCTTTGGGGACGTGAGATGATCTGACCTACTCAGGTTATAGAATCCGCGTGTAATTTTGAAGTTGTGTGAAGTAAAATGAAGCTTCACTTCAAGATAGAGTGCTTTTGATTGCTAGGAGGCGAACGCGAGCAAATCGTTTATTGGCTCTCACATTGGTGTGCATGCACACGTATTATTACGTAAGGAGAAATCACTTATTTGGAAAAGTTAACCATTGCTGTGATAAGCAGAGAGCCCTAAAGACACGCACACACACACACACAAAAGAAGTTAAATTGATATCTAAACAGCCAAATTGATTCCACAAATCTGGCTTAGGGCGCAGCGATTAAATTTTATGAAAAAGTTACAATCTGCTTAAACTTCAGCCATATTGAGTGGAGTTGCGGTGAAATTTGACTTTGTTTTTACTGTTCAGCCCCCGAGTAGTCAATTATTTAGCGTCAGTTGGCTACGTTGAAGGGCCATGATCCCAGTCATGACACCTCTCGTGCGCACCAAAGGCGAGAACATTGAACCCTCATGTTATATGACAGCTCAGGTCATTAAAATAAAAGTCTGGTTTAGCATCTTCGGCAGGGACTTCAAACTCAGCTGCGACAAGTTTTCTCAACACTTTCGTTTATGCGATCAAGTTAATTCAGACTGACAAGCAAAAACGCTAACATTCAGTAAAGCGGACTCAAAACAGAGCGTGGGTTTTTGTTTTTCCACCCGGAAAGAATACAGTTAAAATTTGCGCTGCGTTTGATCGCAGTCAACGCCTCTTTTCGTCTTTTTTATATCTAACTACATTTAATGTGTTAATGCTCTTCAATGCGCTGACTCAATATAGACACTGGAAATGTCCGCATGGTGTTTTTTTTAGCACCTTGTCGCAATCAGGTATTTATAACATGGGTCAAATTCAGGCAAGCAGATAAAACCTGTAATCAGCATTTTATAATAAGAACCTTAGATTTAGGTTAAAATATTGCAATAACTATAAACATATATTATTTAATGTCAGCTGAGGCGGATTGTCTGCAGAATTTAATAAGCAGATAGGTCTTTTAATGTGTCAGAAGTGTCATTAAAACGAAAATTTTAAATATTGTTTCAGCCCAGTGATTGGACGAGTTTATTTAATGGAAATCGTGGATTTAAGCACTTTTTACTCAATCATAACTTCTTTTACCATCCGTCTTGTTTTTTGGCACATTGTTTTTGCTATTAAGGATGAGCTCAGATCAGTCAGGTCGAATTTGCGGGACACGAACCAACCAGATTGGAACCGGCCCCCATCGACCAAAGACGATGCACACTTACCTTGAATATGCCACAATGGGTGGAAACGAGAAGCGTTTGTTGCAAAAAAGGCGTAATCCTCAAGCTACCCACTGCCAAAGAAGCTTTAGGGACGCTGTTTGTGTCAGTAGCGTATATTTTAGCTATTGAGATTATTTAAAATACTACGTAAGTTGTCGCAAGGCAAAATTTTGGGTGTTATTTTTGAGTAATTTTTATATATTTAGCTGTAAACTAAAGATGCGAATGCGTAAACTTATTCAAAATGCTTGACATTGGGGCCAAAACTTATAGTCTCAGCTGCACTGCACACATTGACATCTCAGTTAATCGTTTTCCTAAGCTTCAAAATTTACGGCATGCATGTGCACAAAGGATAACCAAGGCCTTCATGATGACACTTGCTTGACTAGTACCGCAAGTGTTGCATAAAAAAATAGGGAATATCATCGTTGCAACTACGCGCAGAAAGGCTTGACGCCAAAGTAACGAGGCTACTTTGTGAAGCCCATCATTTTAAAAATAGCAGTTAGGTATGCGTAAGGCTTTTGACTGTGTAATTTAACTAAAAATTTGCAGCAGCATTTTGTGAGGTAACTTTTAAACGCAATAAAAGGCAATTTAACTTGTGAGACCAGGTGGTACTTCCGGGGAGGCTGGCAACAATGTCAACCCACATCGTCCCTCCAAATTCGGGATCTCCCTTATGACCTACATTGTGCCTTTTACGAAACCAGAGAGTCAACTACGACCCCTGTGCCCTATGTTGTACACCCCGCACCTTGCTGTTCTAGTTTTTTATTAGTGTCCATGGCGATAGTGCTTATTGCGGTGCAGGTTTCCCATGAACTGTGGGCTTTGATAAACTGGTGTCATTATGGCCTCGCCAGCATTCCTGTGATCACTACAGTGGTCGCCCTCCTTACAAGAACTGAGCGGGGGGCATTAGCGAAGAAGTCGCCTGCGGGCACGAAGGCGTAGAGCTGAAGTAGAGCATTGCGAAGGTGGGGACAAATTATTGAATTACGAAACTTCGGCGTCTGATTCATCCATTCTGCTCACCGGTTCTGGGCCCAGAATGCATGTCATTCTGGAAAATACGGCATGCTCTCACAAGGCATGTATGAAGCCGCAGTCGAATAAGCTAGCTAAATTTACAGCGCATCATGTGCAACCAAGCAAAATGTGAATAAAAATAATGTAAACCTTCGACTAGAGTAATTTGTAAAATGCTGATGCTTTAAAATGGCTTTAAATTGTTTCCTCTCTGGACATTTCAGGTATTGAATGATTAACGCATATTATGTTGCAATCAAATGCGTTAACCCCATTAGCCCTGTAGACACCTATGGAGCGTTGTTTGTATAAAAACCTAAAACAAGTTCGCAGGAATAAGTTAGCACTAAGAGAATTGTTTGAACGCAATGTAATATCTAAGTTAAGCAAAATGCAACATGATTCTGGAATTTTGTAAGTGAATGAAATAATCTGTTTAATAGTCAAAGTAGTAGAACATCATCTACCTTACATTGGATTACACTTAGGGGTGTCGATATAACCCACCACCTCATCTGAGTAGGTGGGCTGCGTCTTTTAACGAGAACAATACCTGATTCCAAATACAGTCAAGCGTCTGCAGAGAGTAAGTTTACCGGAAATTTCATCGAGTTTGTTTAAAATTCGGTGGGTTTCCCCAGCAGGTCCTTGCCACGCAATCCTTATTTGTGAACTACTGCGCAGGCCTTTGTGTCCGTGAGGGTGACTAGTGGCTTCAGAGGCTCTGGCAGCATTCTGTTGAATTGTGCATTGAACGATCGACGTCGCACAGGAGGGTCTGTACACGAGTTGATTGCCACCTGGAAATTGTGATAAATAGCTACTCATGAAATGGTCTAGGTAAGTGAGATTTTGCATTTTGGTTCGCCGGATTAAGAATGCAGAACCGGGTAGTTGTTGATGTCTATGGAAATGCGCTTTTAAGTAGATTGGAACTTGACTAAGAATGAAGTCTAGATGCATGGCAGAGCGGTGGACATTGAACGGCATTTGGGGCATCCTTGTTTGACGATGCAGCAACAATCACCGTTCCTTTATAGACTTAGCACATTGCCAATCTTCTAAACAGATCCCAGTCGCATTAAACCACTTTTGTGCAGACCCTTTCACACATATGTAAGCAGCAAAAATTCGAAATTAATGATTGAAATCATGACGCTTATTAACCGCACCCGGCCACCGGTAAACGGGGCCCGCTTTTAAACTCGAAAAATTGCGACTAATTGTTTGCATCCCACATTTCTGTGAAGCTTAAAAATTCTTTCAAATTATGAGTTAGACGATTCCTCAAGCTTAATAAGCATCACGATACTTGCAAATGCTAACATGAGGCGATAAGTTATGACCGATCGAAGTAAAAGCTCGTTAAAACTGAATTTGCAGACCCCGGAGGGAAAGCGGTTACCGAAATCACTCTTTTTTCCTATTCGTTCCCACGTCGGTAACGTCAGCATAACCACGGCAACCTTGACTTGGTATTATGCAATTCCGGCATTTGACATGTACCGAGTTACTTTAGGAGCATGCCAAATTCCCGATTTCTTGAATCCAAATTGAAATGAAATTATCGAGTTGCTTCTGAATTCGTTTTAAAATATCGGTGATTCACAAAGAGCAGGCGATATTCTTAAGTCATTGCTAAAAGAATTTCGGGCAGTCGAGCCTAAAATAAACAAGTTATGAAGTCTAAGTTCACAACACGAAGGCTACTTAATAATTGGTGGATTGTTGTGCATCGTTGTGGAATTAAACAATGTAGGCCATTAAACCAAGGGGATTTTCCATCAGCTGGTAAGTCTGGATGGGTTGGTAGATAAATCAAACTGCATGGAGTGTTGCATTTGGCAAAGATTTTTTCACGGGGCTGTGTTAATTTGGCATTCGGAGACAATGTTGGACCACTTAAAGCGATGTGGTCACTAAATAATCTGGGCCGGGAAGAACCCTTGGGCATCTGCACAAACCGATCTTGTAACTCCCGTTATGCGCCCTTTAATTTTGCTTAGACTCGCATTATGCTTTGAGAACCTCTGCTATGACGTAAAAATCACCTTTTCTGTGTGTGCTGTGGTATCGTCGCGTTTGTTGTTGGGACAAAGACAGAATCTTTAAAAGCTTCCCAAGAAACTAGCAAATTAAACTCCTCAAATCCCTGAATTTAACGTCATATTCTATTCAATCTAAATCTTAAAATCAGTTTTAGGCCTCGCGCAGACGGGTAAGCCCATAATGCGACTCACACAATCGATTTGGGCCCCATCTGCCTCGTAATGTTCGCAACCAACTCCTGACTACCTGAGGTTGTCTAGAATCATAAAGACAACTCTTAATTAATCTCTGAGGTGCTGGCCAACGCATACTTGTTCCAGGACTTGATTACAGTAGAATTACTCTTTCCATGATTTTCTTAATACTCATCCCAAACACTTTGCTGTAATTTCAATTTCGGCATCTTATTTTCATGAGGTCTTGCATATTCCGGAAGAATCATTTTATGTACTTTTAAGCTCAGCTACTTTAAGAAATGAAAAGCCATACACCAATTTTGCTTTACTTCGAAATTAAAAGAAATGCTACAGTCTTCTCTTCAACAGCATGATATACTTCAGGTTTTGATTAGGGATGACTGAATCAGAAGAAAGTTTTTGAGGTAA